CACTCGGCAGCCCCAGGATTTCTGACAAACTTCCCACTGTGCCTCCTCTTCCATCCTTTCTTAAGGAATTGGTGTTAGGTCATCATCATGTGTTCTGGTGCACGAAACTCACTCTTTGGGTGTATTTTTTTCCTAAAATTCTCTGAATGTAACTCAGAGGTGCCTTTCAGCTCCTGGGAGCTGGGATCTGGCACGCTGAAGTGCGGCGGGGTAAGGAACAAAAGCGACTCCTGCTGTTAGACATTTTTCATTCTGCCATATCTTTTGGGGTGTTCCCTCTGCTCTGACCTGACCTTAAAGCCAGGCTGTGTCCCTTCACCCTTGGCTGTGCTGTGTGAGGTGCTCTGTGCCCTCAGGGCAGGGGCAGTGCAGGTGCACAGGTGCTGAACTCGCTACTCTTGTTTAATCCAAACACTGAATGTAGAGATCATGGTGCCAAGACTGTCCTGAATCTGCTCTTGCTGTGGGCTGAGCTCCCTGGTGCTCCCAGTCCCGGTGTTCCCTTCCCAGTGCTTCCCATCCCCAGTGAGCCCCTGGGAGTCAGCAGGGCTCAGAGGGATTTCTGAGCCCAGGCTGGGCAGATGGTGCCAAGGCAGCTGCCCTCTGTCAGGTAAAGCTCCATTAGCAGTCTTGGATCCTGGTAGGAGCCAATTTTAAAACTTAGCAGGAAAATTAAGCCCCCCTCCAGCCAACCCCTTTCTGCAGTGGAAGAAAAACACTAGGAGAGGTTCTGAGTTGGAGTCACAATTTCCTGAAGAAATCGCAATAATCACAATGATATTAATAAAAGATTCTACAAAATGAGAATGGTTTGCCCACAGAAAGGGTATTTACCATCAAAAAGTGTCACCAGGCCCCTGGGACAAAGGTGAGAGGTGGCAGTGGTGTGGCCAGGTGGCAGCTGGGACCTGTGGGGAGACTCCCATTGGAGTGAGCCCAGCAAAAGGAAGAGGATCCCTGTCGGAATCTGTGGTATTGATGATTCTGAGATTGTAGAAAGTCTCTTTCTTTCAGCCCCGCTGCCAAAGAAGAAGTCATAATTCGTCTGTGCTGTTTCAAGGTTGTTTATTCTGTTTATCTCTAACATGTTCTGCTGCCCTGCCGCAGCTCTGTCCTGCAGGGCAGCGTGTGGGGCTCTGCCCTCAGTGGGATGTTACAAACATTAAATACCACAAACTACCTGTGCTGGATTTACAATAACGTGCCAATATCTGTCACCTACGTTGGACAGTGTGTCCCCAGCCTGAACCAACAGAAAAATGCCAACACCGCAGTGAAACATGGAGGGCATGAAGAAGGAGAAAAAGGACAAGACACACCCAATTTCCTCCATCTTGTCCCCTTTGGACCCCTAATCTAGAATCCTAAAATTTTACTTTTGTACCTGTGCCACACTTAGTTATTACTTATATAAAACACTCAGAGCTTGTAATTCATCCTGTAAGATTGAAAACTCTTTTCCATGGACAGAGATCACAGACAGTGTCTCTGGGGGCTCTGTCCAGGGGGGTTCCTGACCCCTGCCAGGGCAGCCAGAGGGAAGCCCTGGATTCCCACAGATCCCTCCTCTTCCACCTCCAGTTTTGGAAGGGGACAAAGCCACTCCCTTCCACAGCCAGGAAAGAAAAATGGTTCTGCTGGCAGTGTCAGAGCATTCCCCGCTGGAAATGGCCCTCCTCCCGCGGCCGGGACAGCGCGGCCGAGAACGCGCTGATTGTCCCCATCCTGATCGAGCGGGACCCGGGGCTGGGCTGAGCCACCACTGCCCTCCCTCATCCCTCATCCGTGCCGCTGCACGGGCCTTTCCCTGGCCACACGATGGCACAAGATGCCAGAAATTGGTGTCTCAAAAGCCCATCCCAGGCGGTGCCGGTGCAGTTCGTGCCGCTGCTCTCTCTCCATCCCTCCGGAGAATCCCAGGAATTGCTGTTCAGAGCCTCTGTGGCTGTGGACGTTTTTTAGGAGCGGTGGGATGTGGTGCCCTTCGTACCAAAGGGTGGAGCAGAGGGCGGGAGTGATGTGAGAGCATCGGAGGCTCGGTCTGGGGGACCCGTGGGTCTGAAGGCAGGTGGGACCACCGTGGCTGATGGACCCCGGAGAGAGGCTGGAGGTGTTGCTGTGTCCCGGGATGCTCCGTTCCCATCTGCACGTCCCAGGTCTCGGGTTTGGTGCCCTTCACGCCTGGGGCTGTCCGTCCCTCACCTCGAGTGTGTCCCCCCCACACGCCCAGACCTTCAGCTGGCTCCGCTCCCCTGTCCCTGTTTGCTGGCTTGTCCCACAGGGACCCCAATTCCTCCCTTGGAACCCCTCCCTTTCCTCTTGCCTCTGCACTTCAGCCCCTCCTGCAGCGTTTGGGGCTCCCCAGAGTGCTCAGTCCTGCAGTGAAACCAAACCCTCCTCACTGACCTGCTGGCCACATTTTCCCTCCAGTATCCCCCAGAGCTTCCCGTTTCCCCCTAGTGCTCTCCAGAGCCCTTTGCTCACTCCCAGCTCTCAGGATTGTGCAGGTGCAGCTCTCAGTGCATCCCCCTTGGTCCCCTCTGGTGTCACCGAGAGCCTCTGGACCCTCACAGGGCTCGAATAGAACCGGGGGAAGCTGCTTCCAGCCCAGCTGAAAAGTATTTCCATTTTTAGCTTCCATCCTCATTTGGGGCTTGGAGCAACCTGGTCCAGTAGAAGAGGTCTCTTCCCATGGCTGGAGGGTGGAACGGGGTGGGTTTTAAGGTCCCTCCCAACCCAAACCCGTCTGGAATTCCATTATTTTGAGATAGATGCAATCAAATGAGGTCTCCGGCTCCTGATTCCAGGAGTATCCCTCCCGTACACTGAAATTTCCTTTACAGAAAGCCTGTGGGACGTAGGTGATCCCAGCGCACCTCACGGGGTGGAGGGAAAAGCCGCTCACTTTTTAAAGGTGTTTTAGAACCAAACTGAACCCCTGCTCCCCCCAGAACCGGGCTGGGGGTGAGTGCCAACTCTGCTGCAGGCTCTGGGAGAGGACTGAGCTGTGGGGAAGGGATAGGGATGGATCTTCTGGCCTCGGGGCATGAAAATAACCTGGGGAATAAAAATTCCCTGCCCTGTGTCCGGGAGCCGCCGATGGATCCCAGCGCGGAGCAGGAGCCATCGGCAGCTCCTTTTGCCCCGGGGGAGCGGGGACAGCAGCGGGGACAGCAGCGGGGACAGCAGCGGGGACAGCAGCGGGAGCTGTCGCTGCTGCCACTCCCGGCAAGAGCCTGGGAGGGGAATCGGCAGGAAAACAAGCTGGGAATACCCGCGGCACCGGGAATCCATCCCAGGGCTGCAAACCCACGGTACTGCCTCACCTGTTGCTCTCAGCACAGCGCGGAATTGTGAGGGGATTTATTTTATTTTTTTTTTTTTCTTTTTTTAACCGGGGCAATCTGGGGCTGTTTTCCCTCGGCAGATGCTGCTGTGCCATCCCCCGGAGCTGCTGGGCACCATCTGGGTGCTCCTCGCAGGTAAGAGGGGTCCCCGGGCTGGGCTGGGCTCCTCACCTCCTCCAAAACCCTCTGGAGCCGAGCGTGGGGAGCTCTGGGTGGGTAAAATGTTTAACCTACAAGACAAACGCGTGTTTGTCCAAGGAAAGAGGAGATGGAAGAGCCACACAGAGCTCTGGGCATAAAGTTCTGCTGCAGCCAGATTTATAGTGGGGCTGATAGATGTACTCAGACATAAATATCGGTATATATGTTGATATCTGTGTTCGCGTTAAAAATGGATGTGTAAAAATATTTGGTGATTTTAAAACCGCAAATTTTATATCAGTTTATCTCATGTGAACATTTTCACCGTGCTCCTTTAAATAGTCACTGGCTGCCTTGAAACACAAACCATAGAATAACAGGAGGGTTTGGGTTGAAAAGGACTTAAAGTTCATCCCATTCCATCCCCAGGTTGCTCCAAGCCCTGTCCAGCCTGGCCTTGAACACTTCCAGGAATGGGGCAGCCACAGCTGCTCTGGGCAAGGTGTGATAGATCCAAATGCACAAAGATTTTCAGGATGAGCATCTAAAATGGAAGCCCATTACCCTACAGCTTGATTTTGGGATGATGTCAGTGAGATCTCAGTGTCTGTAGGAAGAGTTTTGGCCATTGCAGCTGCAGAAGATGGAGTGTTTTCCTCTTTCCTTCAGCTCATTGTTCTGTTCTCTGTAAATAGTGTTTTCTCAGCAGAAAAAAAGGAATATTTTCAGAAAATTTTTTTTTCTGAAAATAAGAATTTTTAATTATTAAATTGTCTGAGGAGCAGGAGGGCATGAAAACAGCTGCCTTTCAAGGTTATTAGAGTGAGAAATTAAAATCACCTTCTGAATTTGACTTTTCCTGGATTGTCACACTTATCTTCCCTCCCACCCATGCAGCACCATCCCCAGTGGGAGCAGCAGGAGTTTCCAGGGCAGTTGGCCTGGCAGGTGCAGTGGGAATGCAGGTGAACAGGTGCTTATCGGGGCAGGGGCTGAGCCAGGGGAGAGCAAACACAGCCCGTGAGGATCCCTGGCCTCTGCCCAGCCCCGGAGCCATGGGGGTGGGGAGCCTCCCCCTCCCTCTCCTCTCTCCTGGAATCCTCTTGGCTGTGACCACTCCTCCTTAAGTCCTTCAGCACCTGCCCCAGCCCAAACTGTGACAAGCCCAGAAATTTTGGGATGGTGACTGCATCCTGCACTGTGGGGGGCACGTGGACACTTTCAGCCCCAAACAAGACCAGGAATTTTATGGCTGTACCATCCTTGGAAGTGTTCAAAGGCAGGCTGAACAGGGCTTGGAGCAGCTGGTCTAGTGAAAGGTGTCCCTGTGGATGGCAGAGCTGGAATGGGACAGGCTTTGAGCTCCCTTCCAACCCAAACATTTCCAGGGTTCTCTGAATTGGGAATGAGCCATGGAAATTAGGACAGTACAAACAACAAAAACTCAGAAGTTCATTCCACTCCTCCATTCCTTTCCCCCGAGCAGTTGCTCCCATCCCTACCCCTCTCCTCCCTCCAGGGCTGCTGGTTCTGTTCCCTCCAGCTCTGGGAGCTGTCCACAGAGCCGTGGCTGTGGGATCCTGGGTGCTGCTCCCCGGGCTGGATAACACCCACAGCGATTCCATGTGCTGGGAATTCCTCAATGGCACCGGCCCCCACCCCATCCTGCAGCACGAGGGGGGCACCCACGCCCCAGCCATCCACGCTCCCTATGCAGGACGAGCTGTTTTCCATCCATCCAATGGATCTCTCCTGCTGGAGGATGTCCAGCAAAGTGACAGTGGCACCTACAGAGTGACTGTCAGCTCAGGAGGCAGGAGGAGCCTGGAAATCCAGCTGGAAGTCCTCCGTGAGTGGTGGGTGTGGGAGGGAGGAGCGGGGTAGGGCTGCAGAAGGGATCTGAGCAAAGGCTGACGGGCCACTCCTGAGCTTGTTGGCACCTGTCATGTGAGGAGACAGCACTGAGGGACCTTGGAAAGAGGCTCCCAACCTGTCCTGAGGGAGCAAATCTGGAAGTGCTGCCCAGTGAGACCTTCCAGGGGCCTGGCTGGGACAGAGGGACAAGTTCCATCCTGGAAAGGCAATTCCATCCCTTGTTTCCCACACTTCAATGCAGGGATGGAGGGACTGGTGGGAGGATAAAGGGATGACAGAGTGACTGGTAGGATGATGGAGGGACTAGTGGGGTGATGGGGGTGATGGAGGGACCGGTGGGAGGATGGAGGAACTGGGGGTGCGGTGGGGGAACCAGAGGGATAACAGAGGGACTGGTGGGTCGCTGTGACTCTGCCACTTGCAGGGTCCCTCCCCTCAGCACTTTGCCAGGGGACACCTGGCAGAGCCAATGGAGCTGAGGTTCCTGGAGAAGCCACCACCCCCTCAAGGCCAGGCTGTCCCGTTTGCCCTCTGCAGGCACCAGCTGCCACCACAGAGACAAGAGACACTTGAGACAGCCCGCAAGTCCCTCCTCAGCACTGCTGCTAGCAATTCCCTTCATTTGCTCTGGCTTATCTCACCAATCACGCCATGGCCATAATGCCACCACGGCCCTTCATCTCCCACCTCTCCTTCCAACCACACACAATCCCAGTGGGATCTGCTGCCTTCTCTGCTACTTTCTCATTTCCTGATGCATTTCAAAGTGCTCTGTACTTACCCACATCCATTAAAGCAGTGATTCAACTGCAAAAAAACACAGTCCTGGAAAGCACAGTAGTAGGATGGGCTTCCCAAGGGAAAGGCACTGTGACCACGCTGTGGCTGCTGCTGTGGTGGCAATTGCAGCCCAAGGGCTCATCAGGGATGCTTCAGGTCACATTCACTGGCACAGATTCCCAGAGAAGCTGGCTGGACAGGGCTTGGAGCAGCCTTGAATGGTGGAAGGTGTCCCTGTCCATGGTAGGGGGTGGAAGGGGATGGGCTTTAAGGTCTCTTCCTGCCCAAACCATTTTGTGATTCTATATCTGAGAGAAGCGCTGGGGTCTCTGTTCCCTTTCCAGAGCCTGTGTCCCTCCCTCAGCTCTGGACCAGCAATCTCCTGGCTCGGGCCACCGGCCAGGTTGTCTGTGAGGTGGCAGAGGGCAGAGTGGACACCATCACCTGGAAGAAGGATGGGCAGCCCCTTCTCCCAGACAGAGTTCCCCAGCTGTCCAGCAGCCGCAGTGTTCTGTACCTGAGGCCAGCCAAGAAGTCAGACTGTGGCTCCTACTCCTGCAATGCCAGCAACGGGATCAGCTGGCAAGAAACCTCCCTGGAGGTCACCATTGAAGGTCTCACCTCCCATTGCTCCTCCTGCCCTCCACCTTTCCCTGGGGATGTCTCAGTGTTCCATCCACTCCTTCAGCCTCTATCCCCACGGTCTGGCCGCCCTCCCCAGGAGGCGGTGCCCACAGGAGCTGCCCATTTTGGGATGATCAGCAGCAATTCCCAGCCTCTGATCCTGCCATTGGCTGCTCCCTCTTGGGGCAGGTCCAAATCTATGGCCCTTGGCCAAGGTGATGCTGAGCAGGACCTGGGCAGGAGGGTGGCTGGGAAGATTTGAGGAGCACCCACCCCAGGCTGGACGTTGCATGGAGCGTATTTGGCCACCAGCTGGCAAATAAATGGAACCTGTCCTGGAGCCAGGGGGTTGGTCCTGCTGATGTCCCGTCTCCTGCCCCTCGGGGTCGCTCTTTTCCAGGTCTCTCCCACCGTTTGAAGCACACCCTGAGGATTGCTGTGATCGCTGTGGTCTTTGCTGCTGTCTCAGCGTGGGGATTAATTATTCCTGTCTGCCAGTCCGAAAAGCTCAGGATAAGTGAGCTGGGGGGAGCGGGACCCCATTTCCCTTGTCTGGCAGGGGAGAGCAAAGAACATTGCTCTGGGAACCCCCAAATCCTGGGATATCCTACAGCATCTGGGTGGGGATGGACTGCATCCCACCCTGAGGAAGGGGTGATGGCTGGCACAGGATTCCCAGGGGTCACAGTAGTCACCCCGCTCTGCTCTGGGTTTTTAGGGGGGGAGCTCTGGAGGTGGCTTAGCTCCTACACCTGTGGGCTGGTGTGCATCGCCTGCATCCTGGATGGCACCGCTGGCATCCTCTGGATGTGGGAGGAAGGTCAGAGGGGCTGTGGGGAGGTTTGGAGGGAGGAGGGACAAACCCCATGGGAGAGTCCAGTGGGGTCCAGAGAGGAAGGCAGTGAGGGACAGGGGAGTCACACCATGGAATGTGGGGGACAGACCCATCCAGAGAAATACATGATCCATGTGTGGTGTCCATATGTGATCTCCAGGTCTGGAGGAGCTGGACCACCACGTGCATTACACACCCCCCTGGACAATTAATGCAGTTATTCCCCTTTTCCCAGAGCCCTTTCCCAGGATGAGTCCCAGCAGGACAGTAAATTGATCAGAGAATGGAGAGGCTGCAAGGAAAGGCTGGAAGTCAGAGGAGGGTGGGGAAGGCACGTAATGCAGTGTTCCCAGGTGTTGAAGGGGATGGGCAATGGAACATTGAGGTCTCTGCCTCGTCCTGTTGTCTTTCAGGCCCTTCTGTGGCTGTCATACTGCCCGAGATCACCCTGAGCTACCTCACTGTGGTGACCTTCCTGGTTGCCACCACCGTGATTTTCCAACCTACAGATTTCAGCCACCTGAAGTGCAAAAAGGGTGAGAGGTCCCACCAAGGATGGACCAAACTGGTCCACAGGGAGGTTATTCTGCCCAAAACGTCATCCCTAACATTTTAAAATGAGAACTCCTGTGCTGACCCAGGCTGGTGGATCCCTGACCAGTGCCTGGGTGAGGCCAGCCCTGCATCCACACCTCACCTACATCTCTTTTTCCTGTGCACCTCTGCAGCACAGCGCACCATGGGCTACGCCGCGCCGGGGGCCGTGGTGGCCGTGGTGCTGAGCAGCACCTTCCTCATCAGGAGCATCTACCACCGCCACGGTGAGCAGAGATCCTCCAGGGACCGCCCCAAGAGCACAGCTCGTGTCATCCCCACATCCCTTCAATTCGGCTGTTAGGCCTCCAAAAACGAGCCCAACAAACCAGGAGTTTCGGGGGAGTGAAATCTTGCCAGAAGCAAAATTCGGTTTCAATCCTCCACCTATTTTATTTTCTATTTTTTTTTGTGTGTTTGTGCTTTCATGGTGGCAACCTGCCTTCCTTTCCCTGCCCCTGCTGTTTTCTCTGGCAGTAGAAGAAGGATGCACGGAGTTCATGGACGTGACCATCCTGGTGTGCAGCGCAGCGGCCGTGTCGGCCCTCCCGCTCTTCGCCATTTGCCTCTGCTGTAAGTCTGCTGCTCCTTCCCCTCCCAGCCCCTCACAACGCCTCGGGGTCCCCACACCAAGCAGCAGCCACAGGAATTGTTTAAAAGGGGTTTATTTGGCTTTTGTGAAGCCCTCGTGTTTAATAGTTCCCCCTGACTGTCCCAAATACAACACCCCATCCTTGGTGCCTCTCACACCTTCTCCTGATTTGGGGACAGATTTGTCTTTTACACGTCACACGACTCAGGGCTGGAGCAAGGACTGTGATGACTGTTGGATGGACAAAGCCAGGTAGGTCCTTTGTTCTTATTCCTATTTTCCACATGATTTTGTACATCTTGAAGCAAAATAAGCAGGATATGGAAACTCTCCTGTGTTTTAGATTAAGACCCAGACCACAAGAAAGATCCAGCCCAGCACTGCCCTCCAGCCCCTAGTTCTTGCTGGGTTCAGGGGGTGGCTCTGGTGGGGTCCCCATCCAGCAAAGCACTTGAGAGCCCACTCAAAACTCCCACTTATGGCCTCAACCTGAAGTTTTTAAGCCTTAATTCCTCCTGGATTCATGGATTAACAGAATGGTTTAGGTGGAATGGGAATTCTGTCATTATCCAGTTCCACCCCCTGCCCTGGGCAGAGACACTTCCATGATCCCAGGCTGCTCCAAGCCCTGTCCAGCCTGGCCTTGGACACTTCCAGGGATCCACAGCTTCTCTGGGCACCCTGTGCCAGGCCTTCCCACACTCACAGGGAACAATTTGGATGCTCAGCATGTCCCCCCTCCCCTTCCTTCCAGGTCCTTTGAAATGTCTCAGCCAGGCACCAAGGACACCATTCCCAGCTGAGATCCATGTGGGTGCCCCTCAATTGGCTAAGCAAGCCCAAGCCTTCCCCCAGGTTTAGGGGGTTCAGGGGTCTCAGTTTGGGTTCCTCTGTGATCCTCATAATAAATGTCCATTAAATTAACCTGATTCTGCCTTTTTTAGTAATAAATCAGACCCAGGGGAGGCCAAATAAAGGCACATTTCCCCTTTTGTTTCTGCAGAAAATCAAAGCCTGAAGTAGAGAAGCCCCTTTAGCAGCAGCTGCAGGAGTCTTTCACTTGTTTATTTAATGTTTGTTTACAACAATTTAGAGCTATTTGTGTAAGATATACCTGGAACTAGCATGAAATACTTTTCTGGGAGTAACCCTGGAGTAACTTGAAATAGATTCTGGCTTTACCAGTAGTAAAGGCGGAGGAAGGACATGAAGGCACAAAAACCAGGGTGGGAGGAGGTGGATGCTGTCAACAGCTCTTCCTCAGGTCTGTCCCATGGCGTCTGACACACTCTGGGATTTATTTACTCAGAAAATCATACTCAGCCTGTGCCAGTAGCTGTTTGTCCTGGCTGTCACAACGCACTGAGACGTTTCCTGCAGCCCAAAGGAACCTTTTCCAACCACAAACAGCTGCTGAGCACAGCCCTGCACCCAAAGGCCCCCAGAAGAACCCCAAACCTCCCCAAAAAGCCCCCCCGGGGCAGTCCCGACCCAGCTCCTTGGAAGGCAGCTCGACCCAGGCAGTGCCAGGGCAGCTGCCAGGCTCTCATGACTCAGGGAATGGGGCCAGGTTAAAAATACCCTCACCCAGACTTGGAGCAGAGTTGTTGGGCTGTTCTTAACCCCAGCTGAGTCCCTCAGGCTGGCACTGCCACAGGAGCAGGTGAGGGAGGGGATGGGGATGCAGGAACCCCATAAGGGGAGCAAAGGATGTCCTCAAGAGGAAGGGATCATCTCCCAGAGCTGGACACCAGGACAAATCCAGCATTCCCAGGTCTGCCACCAGCCACACCCCACCAGAGGCTGATTCCTACCCCACTGCTACCCCAGGCTCCAAGGGGGCATTTCCCACCCCTAAACATCACAGCAATACCCTCTGGGATAACATACACTCTTTATTAGCAGCAACAGACATCAACAAAACACAAAATCTCCAAAACCAGTCACAGACAACTCCCCAAAACGCTTAGAAAAGTATTTCTTGTAAAAGGTGTGGCTACGTTTTACACCCTCAAGTGCAACAGAGAACCTGACAACCTGCCCTGCAGCTTCCAACAGGGTTAGAATCTCACTGATTCCACCCAAACCCCTCTGCTTCCTTTAATGGTTCCACGAAGCCCCAGGCTGAGATGGCCCCTTGCTAACAGCCCCTGAATCCTGCAGAGATCCCTCCCACAATTTTCCAGTTTGCCTTTGAGAGGTCCCCAGCCTGCTCCAGAGTGCTGGGGACTGGCTCAGGGAGGGCCCTGCACCTGGGATTTCCCCCTCAGATTAAAAGGGGGTGCAAATGTCCTGAGGTGACCAACAGTGGGGTCCAGCACCTGGGGTAGCATCCACTCCTCTCCAGGCTGGGGATCCTGCTCTGCCTCCTGGCTCAGCTGAAGGAGTAATATCCCCTCCACAGCAAAGCCCAGGAGGGCCCTGCAGAGGCAGCACGGGGAGGGAGAGGACAGCAGGGGACAGGAGAGGACAGGAGGAGGGGACAGGAGCAGGGCTCCCTGTATCCAGCCAGGCTGAGGCTGTTGTCACCCGCAGGAGCAGCAAACAGGAAGGACAAGCTGGCAGCAGCACTGGTGCTGGGAAGAGGAGGGGATGTCCCCAGGATGTCCCCAGATCCTGCAGAGCCCAGGGCTGGAGAAGTTGGGCTCCTGAGCATCCCCACCTCAGCCTGCTGCTCCTTGGGATCTGCTCTCAGAAACGGAGCTCCTTTGCTGCTCCCCCACTCCCTGCCAGCTCCTGCTGCCTCCTGGCTGCACACCCAGCACAATCCTGGCCCTTCTCCTCCCTCCAAGGGTCACACGGAGCAGGATGCCCAGAGCCTCAGCCCCCGAGCCCCCTGGCAAACCCCTGGCACAGCAGGGCACCGGGAGGCCCCAGGGAGGCAGGGCTGGCACTGGGGCACCTCCCAGCAGCCCCACGACTGTGGATTTGCCCAGCAGGAACAGTGGCTCTTTCCAGAGCCTCCAGAGGAAGCCAGGAGGATGGAGGGAGGGAGCAGGTACATCCCTCCCCCCAAAGATGCACAACAGGAAGAGCAGGACAACATATAAATAGTCCAAACCAGTGTTTAAAAAAAAATATTTGCAGGTCCTGGCAGCTTGAACACATCACAGGTGAGCCCAGGAGAGGCTGGGATGGGATGGGATGGGATACCTGGCACTCCCAGCAGTATCCATCACCTGGAAAGGGCTACAGCAGGACTGACCCAGTTCTACTGCAAGGAGAAGAGAGGACCCACATGAGCCATGTCCTGAGCATTTGACCCCTCCAGGACCTCAGCCAGCTCAGGGTCCCACGGTGGCAGTGGCAGCACCAGGACATCTGGACTTCTGCCCTACTCCAGATTCCAGGAGCTACCCTGGCCAATTTGTCTGTCTAGAGCTCCCTGGGTTCTGACTGCACCAGACACCTGAGAGCTCCTCGTTTGTAACCCACCACCTCATGGGATGGGTTTGCATCCTTACCCTCCCCATCCTTACCCTCACCCTCCAAGAAGCTCCAGTGAACAGCCTGAGCCTGTTTGTGGTCACAGAGAGGGAGCGATTTCTGAGAAAATCTCGAGAATCATCTGCTTCCCAGAAATTTCTGGAGTGTTCAAAAGCCCAGCCATTATTCAGAGCTAAGGTAACCAGGAGTGTCAGGGTCTGGCTGGAGGAATCAGAAATATTTCCAGAGTGGGGATTAAATAGAGGGGACAGCAGGAGCCTCCAGGGTGGGAGAGCAGCCTCTTACCAGAGGCTGGAATAGCACCCTGAGCTCTCCTACATCTCCAGCTCACTTGGATCCAGCCAAGGATAAATTTGGGCTTGTAGAGAGAAAACTTTGGCTGGAGCAAGGGGGCTACCCCAAGAGGGGGCTGGAGGCATCTTACCAACAGTTGTCACATGAGTCCTCCCTTCTCTGGTACCAGACGAAAACACCTGGGCACAAAGCAGCAGCATCAGAAAATCCCAGAATCCCAGAACTGTTTGGGTTGGAGGGACCTTCAAAGCCCATCCAGTTCCAACCCCTGCCATTGGCAGGAACACCTTCCACTAGCCCAGGCTGCTCAGAGCCCCACCACCATCATCATCCACAGAGACCAGCATGACCTCCTCGGACTGGGGACACCCTGCTGGAAACAGCAGCTGTGACAAAACCCAGCCCCTGCCCACGGGATGCCAGGGTGGGAGAGTCAGGTCCTGGCAGGGATGTGCCACGTGGGACCCTCTCACCCACCTCTGGTGGCCACAGCACTTGCCATGGCACCCACCAACCAGAAACAGGGCAAAGAGCCACCTCAGCACCCACCTGCGAGCGAGCCGATGACGACACAGGTCAGCATCACAGGCAGCACCACATTGGTATAGTCTGCAAAGGGGAGAACACAGAGCCTCTGCACCAGAGCAAATAAATTTAACCCACCCACAGCCTCCCAGGAGAGAGAATCCCTTTCTTGGGTGGTCCCCCCATTTTTCTCCTGGGCAGGGGAAGGAATGCACTCACGGTGGACCTTGAGCAGGAAGGAGGTCTCGTTCTGGCTCACGGCGTTGCTCACTATGCAGGTGTAGTAGCCGCTGTCACTGATGGACGCCCGCAGGATGCAGAGCGTTGTGTTCTCCACAAACTGGATGCGCTCACTTTCCACGAGCAGCACCCCATTTTTCATCCACCAGTAGGCATCTGCCTTTCCTTGCAGCACGTTGCAAACCAGTTTGGTGTTGCTTCCTGCCTCCACCCAAGAGTTGCCCACAATTTTTGGCTGGGACAGTGGCTCTGGGAGAGGCAGAGGCAGCGTCAGCACTCAAACCCGTGGCAATCCCAGCTCCCAGCCACGGAGGAGAGCTGGCTGTGGCACCACTCACCTACAACGTGCAGATGGAACCAGGTGGTGGCCTCCTCCAGGGCCCTGAGGCGGTAGAGGCGGCTGTCCCCACGCTGCAGCACCACCTGCAGCGACAGGTTGGACTCATTGAACGTCACGCGTTTCTCGTAGAGGTGGGACACGTTGGGGGGGTGATGGAAGCCATAGCTGAGGATGACCCCGTCCTCCGAGCCCGCTCGGTATTCCCAGGACACGGCCCTGCTGCCCCGCAGCGCCGGGGCCGTCAGCAGCACGGTGCAGCCCACGGCCGACACCAGGCTGCCCGCGGCCGGGCGCAGGTCGGCCGAGTAGCAGGGAGCGAGCGTGCGGGCTGGAAGAGAAAGCAGGAGTCACCCCAGAGCCGCAGGGATCCCACTTCATCCACCTGGGAGGTGCTGCAGGAGCCCTTCCTGCCTCGGCTGCGGAGGGAATTATTTATAGAATCATGAATCATGGAAGGGTTTGGGTTGGAAGGAACCTGAAAGATCGCTCAGTTCCATGGGCAGGGACACCTTCCACTATCCCAGGCTGCTCCAATCCACAATGTCTAACCTGGCCTAGGGATTAGAACACTGCCAGGGATGGGGCAGTCACAGCTCCTCTGGGAAACCTCTGCCAGGGCCTCACCTCCCACACAGTGAAGATTTTCCCCCAGTATCCCATCTAACCCTGCCCCTCCATCCCTTGTCCCAGGCTCTCCTGGAGCTCCTTCAGGCCCTGGCAGGGGCTCTGAGCTCTCCCTGGATCCTTCTCTTCTCTGAACGCCCCCAGCCTGCCCAGCCCGGCTCGGAGGGGCTCCGTGGCCTCCTGTGGGCTCTGTGCAGCAGCTCGGGCTCGCTCCTGTGCCGTGCCGAGGGCTGGGCCGGCTCTGCAGCGGGGCTCTCGCCTGATGGCCACAGCGGCCCAATCCCCCCTGCCCACGCTCCTGGCGGGCCCTGCGGAGCTTCTCACCCCCGCACACCCCAAATCTCTCAGCAGGGCCATGGAAACGCTCCCTCCTGCTCTGGGGGGAGCTGCGGGACCCCCGGGCACAGCCCCCGCCCGCGGGAACCCGCGCTGAGAGCCGGGAAAAGCCGCAAGTCCCTGCCCGACCTTCCCTTAAAAGCTTTTCCCCGGGATTAAGGCGCGCCCGAGCCCGGAGCCGCCGTCGCGAGTTGGATCAGGCGCCGGGAGCGGCTCCGTGAGGGGACCCGGGAGGCGCCGCCCGCCTCCCCCGCGGCACAACTCGGACCTCGGGCACCCGGACCGGGACCCCCCCGGCCCCGGGGCTGACACTCGCCTGTGACCCCCGGGGCGACCGTGGCGCTGCCGGGGGCGAGGAGGAGGGGGAGGAGGAGGGGGACGGGGAACATCTGCGAGGCCGCCGGGCGACAGCTCCGCCGCCAGCCTCGGGCAGCTCCTCTGGGCGGGACCGCGCGGGGCCTGCCCTCCGCCTCTCCTGCTGCTGCTGCGGTCCTCCTCTCGTCCCCTCTCCTCCCCTCCCCTTCCCTCCTTCCCCTCCCTTTCTTTATTCCCCTCCTCACCTCCTCTCCTCCTCTCTTCTACTCCTCCTCCTCTTCTTCTGTTTTCCTCCCGCTTTTCTCCTCTCCTCTCCTCTCCTCTCCTCTCCTCTCCTCTCCTCTCCTCTCTCCTCTCTCCTCTCTCCTCTCTCCTCTCTCCTCTCTCCTCTCTCCTCTCTCCTCTCTCCTCTCTCCTCTCTCCTCTCTCCTCTCTCCTCTCTCCTCTCTCCTCTCTCCTCTCCTCCTTCCCCTCCACCCCTCTCCCCTTTCCAGGACTTCCAAACCCAACACACAGAGCCCCCCAGGGCGCTTCCTCCCCCCATCCCTCCTGTCCCTCCTCTCTGTCACGGTGTAAAACCCCCAAATCCCAGCTGGGGGCACTGGGGGAATGGCCTCACCCTGTCCCCTCTGCTCGGGATCCCAGCTCAGCCACAAAACCTGGGGGTTTAACCATTACCTGGAGCAGCTCTTTCAGCTCCTGGCAGGGCTGTAGGAGCTGTAGGGACATGGCTGGGACGCTGCTCTTGCAGGAGATTCACCTCGGAATGCTCCAGGCGGGATCGGGACAATGGTTTTTGCCTTCCCCAGAAGGTTGGGCAGCTTGGGAAGTGCTGGGGGCTTTGTGGCAGCAAAAAAGAAATCCCATGGAGAGGCTCTCCAGGAGGAGAGGAGGACGAACGGGGACACAGGTAATCCCACTAGAGGGAGCGAGGAGATCAGCTGTGCCAGGAGCCGCTGGGACCGGCGAGCCCAGCCCAGGGAAGGAGCTGCAGCAGAACTTCCTTCTCATTGTCCCTCATTGTCTGTCCTGTCACTGCCTGTCATTATCTGTCATTGCCTGTCATCCATCGCCGGAGCGCGGCCATGCTCCTGGCCGGGGTGTGGATGTCTCGGGAGCTGCTGTCCTGCCTTGGGATGTTCCAGAGGCTGCTGCTCCTCATCCCTCCTGGGAAAACTCGTGTGTTCAGGGATTTATGGGGCTCCTTCACCCATCCCTTCCCTGCCAAACTCCCACCAGCAGCGCAGGGAGCACCCCTGGGTCTCCACAGAGCCTTTGTGCTCCTCTTTTCCCTCTCTCCCTACACCTTGGCTCCCAACCTCCACCAGCCAGAGGCCAGGAAGGGCTGTGAGGACCAGCTTGTGCCCGTCCAAGCCAATGTCCTGTCCCACCTGGGTGACCACCCATCCCTCCATCCCTCCAGCTGGCACGTGTGATGCTGGAGCAGCTCTGGAGCAGCTCCGATGCCACCGGGCAGGGAATGTGTCCACCTACTCTGTGCTGACAGGGACAAACAAACGCTGGCCCCAGCCCACCGGCAGGAGACAGCCAGGGAAAGGCTGGGGTGGTCTCAGGGCTGGAGGGAGAAGGTTGGACGCCTGACCCTCCCACTGGAAGTACGGTGTGATGAGGAAGAGGCTTTTCCCAAAAAAACACCTCAGCACAGGAACTGATAGGTTCCAATCGAAAGACAAATATCTGAGGGCACATTCCAGGGAGGTTACGGCAGCTCCTGAGCCGCACGCGATGATTTCACGTCGCAGGGGTTGCTGTTTCCTCAGGGAGGACCGTGTGGACAGCCCTGCTCCTCGGAGTCAGCACTGCCGGAGCAGCGCCGGGCTGGGCTGGGCTGAAAGGAGCAGCGCGGGGAGCTGAGATCCACCCCGGCACCTCCCCTGGGGGAGCATCCTGCCCCGACCCAGCTCCGGGGGTCTGCCTGGACCACCCCAGGAAACGTGGAAAACAATTTAAAATGGCACGTTCCACCACCCTGCCTGAAGCAAACTGAAGTGAATCCAAGGGACAGGCTGTGAAATCCCAGACACGGCTCCACGTCCGTGTCGGCATCTCCTGCCGAGTTTCCCCCATCCCAGCCTCGCAGAGAGCACCGGGAAAGCCCAGCAAGCCCCCCTCCTGCTCCCCTGCACTTGCTCTGCACCACGGGGCACTGAGGAAACAGATTTCCAGGCTCTGCCTGACCTGGCTCTCCTAGTGCACAGACCAGGAAACATTAGAAGTGAAAAACAACTCCTCAGCCAGGACTGAGGCATGCTTTTCACCCTGGCTCTCAACCAATTTTCTGTGCATAGCTCCAGTTCTGGTCCTGCCCTGACTCACAGACAAACCTTCTCTCTCCAAGAGGGTAGCCCCAGGCTCCGGGGTTCTGATTGCTCCTGGTTTTCCTCCTGTCCTCAGCAGAGCTCAGCCATGCCCCGGTCCCATCCCAGGGAGCTGTGGTCCCAGGTTCCTTCAGCACAAACATCTATGTCCCAAATGGGAAATCATAGACTTGTGGAATGGTTTGGTTTGGAAGGGATCTGAAACCCATCCCATTCCACCCCCTGCCATGGAAGGGACACCTTCCACTAGACCAGGCTGGCAGCTGTTCCCCAGATGTGCCCTTTGCAGCTCTTCCCCCCTCACCTGTCTCAGCAGGTCCTGTGCCCTTTTCCTGAGAACAACCAGGAGAGTTGAGTTATCACAGGATTTTTTTAGACATAATTAATCACCTCCCTGCCAGATCCCAGACTCCAAGGAAGACATCTAGCCTGGGGAAACATCTCCATACCAGGATATTGATGGGGCTCTGGCACTGGGTAAACACTGAGCTGGCAGAGAGGCAGGGAAATCAGTCCTGGGCCTGGCAGATGCTTTGGATGGGAGATCCCCTGCTCTGAACCCCAGGGACTTAGAGGAGCCCTGGCTTCATGGTGCTTCTGGGGACACTGCAGGGTTGGTGGGGAGGGGATGGCCCATAGGGCAGCCACCTCCATGATGGTCTGGGGGCTGCTGAGCTGGCTGAAGTCTAGGCTGAGGCCACCCACCCTCCCCAGGGCCCAGGGGACAGGAGAGAGCGGCTCTGCAGGGAAACCGGTGCTTCTGTGCTTTCTCAGCTCTCACTTTCATTTCACAGGTAACAGCACCAGGAGCCACAGACTCACCTGAGTGTCACAGCAGCACCAGGGAACAGCAGCTTGTCCCACCTTTCTGCTTTCCAACCTGCTCCACGTTTCTGTTGTGGAGCAATGGGAATGTGAGCCAGCAGCAGGACAGAGCCTGGGGCTCAGCAGGGATGGGCAGCCCTGTGCCCAGCCCAGGAGGGCAGGGGGAGCACAGCCCTCCCAACAAGGCCTCCAGGAGATGCTCAGCAGCTCTTGCCCCCTGTGCTGTAAACATGCACCTCTCTGAGCCTTTGCTGGTGGCCAGAGCTGACATGAGGTCCATCATCTAAACCCAGCTCAGGTCATGTCCCTCCAGCCCTGAGATTCTCTCTTCTCAGCCCAGGGACACTGGGGTCTTCTCTCCTGGGGTCACCCTAGCAGTTCCCACACTGTCCTGTGATGGTGGCGTGAAGCATATTCATAAATCATGGAATGGCTTGGGTGGGAAGGGACCTTAAATGTCACCCAGTGCCACCCCCTGCCACGGGCCACCTTTCACTGTCCCAGGCTGCTCCAGCCCCACTATCCAACCTGGCCTTGGGCCTTTCCAGGTATCCAGGGGCAGCCACAGCTTCCCTGGGCACCCTGTGCCAGGGCCTGCCCACCCTCGCAGCAGAGAATATGTTCCCAAATATGTTCCCAATATCCCATCTAACCCTTCTCTCCGGCAGAGTGAAGGATTCCCTATGTCCTGTCGCTGTGTACCCGTGAAGCGACACTCTGGGGCTCCCTGGGGACACGCTCCGAGTCGCAACCCCGGGGCCACCATCGCACCCGGTGTCCCCCCGGTGGCCACGAGAGACGCCGCCCCTCGGGCCACAGGCCACCTCCCCAACCCCGCCCCCGGCCCGCCCCGCCGTCCGTCCCGCCGCGCTCGGGCCCGGGGCAGCGGGACCGGGACCGGGACCGGGCCGGGCCATGGCCCCGCACCCGCCCAGCGCCGGGCAGTACCTGCGCTCCGACAGCGGCGCCTCCGACACGCCGATGCTGGCCGAGGGTCCCGCTGCCGGGCCCGCTCCCGGTGACTGTCCCGGTGCCGGTGCCGGTCCGGACGGCGGCCCCGGTGCGGCGCGGGGGCAGCGGCGGCGGCGGTGCGGACCGCTGTGGGGCAGCGTGGCCGTCATGGCTATCCTGGCGCTGCAGATCGCCTCCACCACCGGCCTCTTCGTCTACTTCACCATGGCCATCTCTAAGGTAAGCTTTGTCCCGGGACCGGCGGCGGGGCTGCGGCCCCGGGAGTCCCGGCGGCTGCGGGAGGGCTCTGCCCGCTCCCTCCCCTCGCCTCTGCCCGCCGGACACGGCAGCGACCGGTGCGGGCTGAGGGCTGGACACTGCCCCAGCCCCCCAGGGAGCCGCCGGTCCAGATGTGGATTGGGGGCTGGACACTGCCCCAGCCCCCCAGGGAGCCGCCGGTCCAGATGTGGATTGGGGGCTGGACACTGCCCCAGCCCCCCAGGGAGCCGCCGGTCCAGATGTGGATTGGGGGCTGGACACTGCCCCAGCCCCCCAGGGAGCCGCCGGTCCAGATGTGGATTGGGGGCTGGACACTGCTCCAGCCCCCCAGGGAGCCGCCGGTCCAGATGTGGGGTGGGGGTGGGAATTGCCCGAGCTCCGCCCGGAGCTGCAGATCCAGCTGTGCAGGCGTGGGCGGAGGGGTGGACACTGTCGCCGATCCAGATGTGGAGACACGGCGCCTTTGTCCTGGGCCCCGCCTGGAGCTGATGTTTGCACCGGGAGAGGGGGGCTCTGCCCCGGGATCCCACCGGAGTCTCCAGCCCCAGATGGGGGTGCAGGGGGACTTCCCTGGGCTCCAGGCCCCACTGAACCCTGGTTCTGGCTTCATCTCTCCCTCCTCCATTCCCATCTCCTTCACACTCCAGGACCCCCAAATCCTCCTCACCCCCTTTGTGAGGCGCTGGGAACCCCATTCCAGCAGCTCTTTGCTTGCTCCAGTGCAGCCCCACCAACTGTGCTGGGATCCCGCCATTCCCACCTCCCACGGGGTCAGTCGGGCAAAACCACTCCCAAACTTAGACGTGACGGCTCCGATCCTTTCAACAGCCTCGCCAGTCCCTCCCCTCCTCTTCTGATTCCGATCCACAACAACCCTTCAGCAGCGGGAGGGAAACGCCAGTCAGGAGATCCATGATGGGTAGAGGGAAATTCGGGGCTGGCAGCAGCTCCATGGAAGCCGCCCTCATCCCTGAGGGTGCGCAAAAAAAAAAAAAAAAAAAGGGGTCCTGCAGTGCCAGACATTCCATAAAACACACCAGAGACGGGGAAGAAGGAAAAGCCCTGCCACGGAATAAACAGCCTGTCTGGATCCAGCGCAGGATCCTCCGGAGTGGGCTCCAGCCCTCCTTCGGGCTTTGTCTCCATCCCTGGGTCACACGAGGTCCCGCTGTGAGGGATTTACATGAAAGGCGGGGAGAGGAGTGGAATGGGGAGACACAGCCGCAGGGAAGAGGCGGAGGGAGGAGGAAACCACTGTAGTGGAACAATTTGGACTAATTTCAGCGGCCGGTCGCTGCATCTGTGCCGGGAGTAGGGACTCAGTCTCCTGCAGCCCCTTTAGGCCCTGGAAGGGGCTCTGAGCTCTCCTTGGAGCCTTCTCCAGGTGAACAGCCCCGGCTCTCCCGGCCTGGATCCGGGGCAGAGCGGCTCCCGTGCCTTTCTCTGGAGCCCGTCCAGCCGCTTCCCGTGCCGGGCTGGCCCCGGTTCCGCGGGCGGCCCGGAGCGGGCGGCGCTGCCCCGACACGCACCCGCCGCGGGCATCCCGAGGGAACGGCCCCATCCCGGGGGATTCGCTGCCTTGGCAGCGCCCGGCACTCCCACCTGGCGGGCAGGTGTGTGCAGGAACAGCCTGCGAGCCCTCCCCCAGTCCTTTCTATGTGACCTCAAAGGATCATAGTGGTCCTATGGATCCTGCGGATCCTGGCAAGCCTGTGGATCTAGAGGCTGAATTGATCCCAACACCCTGGTTGTTCTCTGAGTGCCCGGGTGCTGGAGGAGCTGGGCTGAAGGCAGCTGCCCCTGCTCACACCCCAGCAGGATCCCCTGGGGCTGCTCCCTCGCTCTGTCCCAGTTGCCATCATGCTCTGTTTCCATCCCAGCTGAAATCCCAGGCTCCGGGCAGCGCAGAGGAGCTGCGGTGTCTGCAGGCGCTCAACCAGCAGCTCGAGGGTTCCAGCCTGGAGAAGCTGAGCAGCAGCCAGGGCTGCCTCAAGCTGGCCAGCACCATCAAAGCCTATGTGGCCACGGTGAGCCTGGGACCAGGGGAGGATGGGAGAGCTCCTGGTTGTCCCCGTGCCTCAGTTTCTCCATCCATCTCACCACAGCAGTGGGAGGGGGGAATAGCCAGGATGGTTCAAGGTGGGAGTGGGACTCAAGCCCTTCACAGTGAGGAGGTGGTGGGGCCCAGAGACTGTGTGACAAGGAAGGTGATGGAGGCTTGGAGTAGGAGTTCAGGCATAGGGAGCTTTTCTTTTAAAAGTGACCCCGTGTCACCTTTAACCAGGGAACTTTCTCTTCTCTGTGGCACAGGTGACCGAGAACATCATCCGCAGGAGCGTGGTGAAGGGTGAGTCCCTCCTGGGCCAGAGCCTGATCCATGGGAACTGTGATCCAGGGAGCTGGGATCCACAGGAGCTGGGATCCACAGGAGCTGGGATCCACAGGAGCTGGGATCCACAGGAGCTGTGACCCATGGGAGCCGGGATCCCAGGAGGCCAGCAGGGGTGGCTGGGGCAGTCACTCCTGGGGCAAACTCCAGTGCTGTAAGCTGGGGCAGGAGAGGGGAGAGCCAGGATTGTCACTTGCCATGACAGGCACACGTTCCAGGAACGGGCTGGGGGACAGCCACATCCGTTTGTCCAGAGGCTGGGGAAGCAGGGCCGTGGCACACACAGATGTGTTGGTTGATGATTGACGAGACATTTCTATCCCTCAATAATCTTTCGCTCTGGTGGGTCAGTGGGGCATTCCCTGCCCTGGCATGGGGCCGGGTGTCCCCACACTGTTCTTACAGCATCTGTCCCTTTCCTGCAGAGGCCTGGCGGAGCTACTTCAACACCTCAGAGGGGCAACTTCCTCCCAAAATAGCTGGGAAACCCTCAGCACATCTCACCCTCCGCCCACAGAGCCTGGCTCAGGATGGTGAGTTGGGGCACCCCTCTGGGCACTGCTGGGTCTCCAAGATGGGAACACGGGAGAGATCAAAGGGCAGGGGACCAGGATGGGGGCGGCAGATGGGGAGAGATGTCTCCTGTTCACTCCAAGACCACCAAGCTCCACCCTCTGAGCTGGAACCTACAGCTTCCCAAAGGGAGGTTGTAGACAGGTGGGGGTCGATCTCTTCCAGCAGCAACTGGCAGAACAGGAGTACACAGTCTCAAGCTATGTCAGGGAAGGTTTAGGTTGGATATTAGGAAAAAAATTTTCACTGAAAGAATAATAAAATACTGGAATTGTCTTCCTAGGGATATCTTTAAAAAAAGACTGGACTTAGCACTTGGTGCTACAGTCTAGTTGTGGTGTTAGGGCATGGGTTGGACTTGATGATCTTAGAGGTCTCTTCCAACCTCATTATTCTGTGATTCTGTGATGACTGGGAAGCAGTCAGAGCACCCCCTCCCCTCTGTGTGACGCTGTCAGGTCGCTCCCCTCAGTGACTGTCCCTTCCCTCAGGACGCTCCCAGCGCTCCGGGAACCTGTCGCAGTCGTGCCGCCACGCCATCACGCACTGGGGGCACAGCAGCCTCCTCTCCCACGTGCAGAACATGACGTACCGCGCCGGGCGGCTGCGCGTGGAGCAGCCGGGCAAGTACTACGTGTACTCGCAGATCTATTTCCGCTACCGCGGCGCGGGCCGCGACTCGGGCCCTCAGCTCGTGCAGTGCATCCAGTGGCAGCCGGCCCACAGCCCGCCCGTGCTGCTGCTCAAGGGCGTGGGCACCAAGTGCTGGGCGCCCGAGGCTGACTACGGGCTCCACGCGCTCTACCAGGGCGGACTCTTCGAGCTCAAGGCTGGGGACGAGCTCTTCGTCTCCGTCTCCTCCTTGGCCATCGACTCCAATGATGCAGCAGCCAGTTACTTTGGGGCCTTCCGGCTCGACCTGTGACAGCCCCTCCGCTCCCACCCGGCCCTGGGACAGCGGCCACAGCCGGGGTGGCACAGGGCTCTCCTTCGTGGCTGCCTTGTCCTTTGTGGTGAGGGATGAGCCAAGAAGCCCCACACCCTGCCCACAGGGCCCTGCTGTGCTCGGTGCCACCCTCCCTCCCCGTGGGAGGCAGCTCCTGGAGGCCTACAGGGGACATGCACGAGGAGGGACATCCTAGCCCTGCTGGCACAGCACCTTCCAACAGCTCCCTGCAGCAGGAAAGGCACCAGGGCCACATCTGCCACTGCAAGACAAAGTGTCCCCGTGGCAGGGTGACACCCGTGAGTCTGACCCCACCTTGGGCAGGGCTGTGGGTGCCAGTACCGGGGGCTGGAAGCACCCTGGGGCACAGGGCTGGGACCCCTGGGGCACACCTTGTGGGGATGGGTGCAGTGTCCGCCTCTGGAAGGGAATGAAGGAGTTTCAGTTTGGGAGATGAAAGCCTGGGGCAACAGCACCAGTGGTTGCAAGGAGGGCAAAGGGCAAGACCGTGACACCACAGCAGTCACCAGTCCTGGCACCACACCCGGCACGTGGCACTGGGGCACGTGGTGACCGAGCCAGGCTGCACAGGACCAGGAGCTCAGCACGGCTGCTGACCCAGCACCTCTTCCCGTGTGGATTTTGTCCCCCCCAGCCCTCATGGACAGCACAGTCCCCACTTCCTCACACCTCCAGCCCTGGCAAGCCCTGCAGGATTCCAGCTCTGGATGGGCTCCATGGTCACAGCAAGACCTTGGAGGGACCAAACCAGTCCTTGGGTGATGTGATGGAGCCACTCCAGAGGCCAAAGGTGGGTTCAGGCAGGGCAGAGCAGGGCCCAGCTGGCTCAGCCCGTGGACACTGGGTGGGCACAGCCCCCTTTTCCAACCCCCCCTGTACTTTCTGTATCCTACTAAGACTGGGGGGATTCACACAGTGGCAGCGTGGGCTGGCACAGGTATGGGGCTCCCAGGGAGGATGGAATAAAACCTTGTACTCCAGTACAGGTCTGGCCCCTTTGCACCCAGGGCGGGCCTGGAGCCAGGTTGAGCAGGGCTGGGGCACTGCCAGAGCTCCAGACAGAGCCCAGCAAAATCTCCTGCTCATCCTGCACCCACAGCACCTCCAGGGGCTCAGCAGCTGCCAGCCCCCACAGCAGTCCCAAGGGGATGTGTTCCTGCTTCTCAACCCAGAGCCTTCATTCCCAGCCTTCATTCCCACTGGGCTCAGCTCCTGCAGAGACCCCTTGAGATCTGAGCCCATCCCAGCTCCTCTCCTGCACCCATCAGCTCCCAGGGGTTCCCAGCTCCCCCTCTTTGAGTTTGGGATTGCTGAGCCCAGCCCAGGACACAGCCAGGCCCCGGGGTCACTGATGGGCTGTTCCTGGGCAGCTCCTGCCATCCCTCCTGCAGCTTCCCAGGCCTGATTCCAGTCCCCACATCCAGCCAGGGCTGGGGGCTGAGCCAGGCAGTTCCCACATCCCCCCATCTCTCCAGCCCCCATCCCCTGCAGGCTCCCAACCCAGGGGGGTTGGTACAACCCCCACAGGGCACGGTGCCACCCTGGCACCTGCACACAAGCACCTGGACGGGCCCCAGTGCAAGGGAAGATTCCCCAGCTCATCCAGAATCTCCAAAAGCTCATCCAAAGCCAGAGGGCACCAAGAGCAGCCTCCAAAGGGGTGACAAGGCTGATACCCCCATGGCAGGGCTGCAGGGCCCTGTTTTCCCAGTCCCCTTGGAGGGGTGGAGGGAGCTGAGCTGAGCCTTGGCTCTGCAGCACTTGGTCCTGGAGCACGCTGGGCTCTTGGCCAAAGCAAAACAAGCACTCCAAACCCCTCCATTGTCAACCCATCCCTTTTCCTCCACCTCTCATCCCCACTCCTGCTGTCCCAACCACCTCGGTGACCCACAACAGGGCTCTTGAGGTCCTCAGGTCTCAAACGCCCCCGGGAGCAGGGAGCTGGGGTTTACAAGAAACGCAGCAGGGGTTCCCAGATTTCCTTTGAAAAGGAGTTTAACGTGGACATGGCCCAAGGGAGCCGGCAGGGGCTGTGGTTGCCATGGAGGAAGCAGGGAAAGCAGGGAGTGGGGGGAGCCGGGCTCCGCGCCAGCGGGCAGTGGCCCACCCTGCTTTCCTGGAAAGGAGAAGGCTCGTGGGTGGGTGGATGGGAGAAGGAGAACTCCAGCAGCATCAGGGCAAAGAGCAGCCTCACCCTGTCTGGAGAGAGCCCAGCTGGAATTCCTGACTGTGAGGAACTGGCACAGGTTACCCCGAGAGCCTCAGCAGCCCCTCTGCCTCCTCCATCGTTCTCCCTGTCCCGGTGCTCCCAGCAGAAGGGCTGGACACCCCCAGCCTGGCCAGGGCTGGGCTCCCACCTGGACAAGTGGATTGGCCACCAGGAGAACCCAGCAGCAAGAAAACCCTCCACAAAAACTGCCTGAGGCACCTGTGCCAACACTACCTGTCCCAGGACTTGCTCCAGGAAAGAAAGAACAAAGTGTGGAAAGACTTGGATGAGGACACACCACTTTTCTCTGACTAAGGAAACAAAATCTGCTGTGCAAATGGAGCAAAGTATTGAAGATTTCTCATACAACTTTTATGTTATGGTTAAAACTGTTTATTAGAAATTACAGCTCACTATTTTAGTGTGTGCATTGCTGACAAGTTCACTGTAACCCCTGCTAGAAAGCAAAGTCAATGGTCCCTAAACCAACCCTGCAGCCCCTCACACAGCCCCCTCTGCCAGCACCTCCCTCAGGCTGGGGAGAGCCACAAGAATAAACGAGTCCATTATCCCTTCTGACCCTGTCCCCCAAAACTGAGAGCTCCCCAGGCAGCACATCCCTGCAGTGTCCCTGCAGTGACAGCTCCAGAGCCTCCCAGCCCTTCCCTAACACCTCAAGCTGAAGGAGAACAGGGTAAGAAGGGATAGCGGGGAGAAATTCCCTGTGAGAGAGGTGAGGCCCTGGCACAGGGTGCCCAGAGCAGCTGTGGCTGCCCCTGGATCCCTGGCAGTGCCCAAGGCCAGGCTGGATGGGGCTGGGAGCAGCCTGGGACAGTGGGAGGTGTCCCTGCCTATGGCAAGGGATGGAGCCAGACAAAATTCATGACCCTTCCAATCCAAACCATTCCAGAATTCAGTGATTCCCTCCTGCTCTAACCCAGCCTGGGACGTGGGGAGGGTGACTGCAGCACTAATAAAATCTCCACACTGACCTGATTTCCCATGGCCTCGCCCTGCGGATTCAATCCAGACAAAAAGTGCTTCCTGCAGCCGCTGCCAAAGGACCCTCTTATCTCCACTGCCGAGGAGCTGCTTCTACCTCAGCCCAGGGCGTTCACGGCCCTGAGCCTTCATCTCTAAATAAATCCTGAGCCAAAGGCTCTTTTTTCCCCTCTTTGTTGTTATAAACCAGCTCATTGCTACTTCCAAGTCTCCATCCCTGCCCAGACACGATCTCGTTTTACTTTCAAGTCCCCAGCCTGGCTCGAATTCACAGAAGGGAGAGGAAATCCACGCCAAAATCCACGTAACCCCGGCAGGAAATCATTCCTTGGGACACTGTAAATAAAGCACACAAAGGGGCAGCGGGGTGTGGTGTGAGCACCCCTCGCTCTGCCCCAGGACACCTCACCAGCCACAGCTCCCCCCAGGCAGGAATTCAGCCTGGAAAAAAGAGGGAAGAAAAACAGAAACCTCTTTCCTACAGCACAAAGGATTCATGGAGCCGCGGGATGCTCCTTAAACCCTCAGGAAAGCATTGATGGGAGCGAGCAGGAGGCTCAGCTCATCCCAAGAGGAATCGCAGATGGTTTGGGTTGGACGGACCTTTAAAGGCCATTTAGTGCAATCCCATCCCAGCTGCGCTGCTCCCAGCCCCTTTGCCTCGGCCCCACTGAGAGCCCAGAGGAAAGAAATGGATTTCTCTCCTTTCCAGCTGCCGTTCCCCGTGCAGCCCGTGGCTCCCAGCGGCAGCGGGACCGTTCCCCCGGTTCCCTCCCGGTCCCGGCTCTGCCCGGGGCTGAGCACCAGGGAAGCGCTGAGCCAGCTCCAGCTTCCAGCACCACTCACACACGCCTTTCTTCTCCTTTATTCCCCCGTGAGACAAGCTGGAGCCATCGGGAAGGAATAATTCCACATTTAAAGAAAATTCCTCATTTTGTGTCCTGTTCAAACTCCCTGAACTATTCCACAGAACTAAGGAATCAGACTGGTTTGGGTTGGGACCTTAAAGATCAGCTCAGTGGGAGGCTCAAAGTCGGCTCCCTCCAGTCCCATCCTGCCCTTCCAGCATCCGACTGCCTTGTCCCAGAGAGGTCCCCAAAGCCACGGGCCATAAATGGGATATTGCAACTCCTCTCCCCGGTCCTTCTGGGCCACTCATCCAGTGGATGGACCTCCCCGGCTCCGTCCTGCCGAAGGGAACCACAGGGCTTCTCCTGGAAGAGCAAGTCCTGGGCAAAGCCCTTCTTGGGAGCTGGAAGTTTGGCACTGTGAGGACTCCAGATCCTGCCGGCACCCAAAGTGAGCCTCCCTAAAGCTTGGCCCTACTGGGCTTTTCCTGCCCTTCCCACTCCCACCCTCCTGGACTGGACTTTCTCCGGACAGCATCCCCAGGAAACCTCTCCCACTGAAAAAAAACCATCCATGGGACAGACACAGCAGCAGCTGAGGAGAGCCAGGAGCTGCTGGGCAGGTGTTTCCTGCCCCAGGCTCCCATCCCCGTTTGGCAGAGCAGCTGCCATTCCCTGTGACAGCTGCTCCCTGCCCTCCTTCCCCAGGAGCAGCTGGAATGAGCCACCAGCCAGCTGGGATGGCCCATCTGGGAGAACCTTGCACACAGATTTCCCTTTTAGCACTTACCTTTGCACTGGGCTGCTGCAGCCTTCCCACAAGGAGAGGAATCCTCTCATGGATCATGGATCTAATTGAAGCAGGACCACATTTCCCAAGCTGGGACCTTCCTGAGGATGGTAAGGTGAGCAGAAAATTGAAAAGCTTTGTGTTCCTGGTATCCCAGGTATCACAGGAAGAGAAGCATACAGGACAGGCATTCCCAGAAAAGGAGCTCCCAGGGGATTGGGAGAAGGCAGCTTCTCCCCTGAACACAACCCCAGCTCCCAGGAGCATCCACCTGCCCTCCAAACAGAACAAAAAATGGCATTTAAAGCCAAAGCTGCTGCTGGCACTGGCTGAGGCAAAACATGAAGAATTCCAACCATCTCCCGCTGCACAAAACCACCACAGAACAGTCCAGGCGTTTATTTTCCAAGCAGAAAGAACTGGATCCATCAGTGACATCTCAGGTTGAAGCAGCTTTGAGCTGTACAAGGATTGAGACATCAGGTGGAAGCAGAGACTGGCTGCTGGATGGCTTTGGAAGATCAAGAATCTGGCTTTTGCTCCTTGGAAAGACAAGGAATTTGTATCTGAGAGACTGAGAGGGACACAGCCAAGTCAAGCCAGAAGTCCCCACTCCCCACAGACATGAAACAACTGAGGCCAGGATGAAGAGATCAGTCTCCCAAATCCAGAAGGCTCCCAAATTCCATTAAATGGGCACAGTTTTATTAACAGGAAAATCATTAGGTCAGTGCTGGACAGGGACTGAGGAGCACAGGGGGACATGGTGGGAAGGGTTTCTTGCATAGTTGTTGGCTAAAGGAGACCCGGGAATTCCCTGCTGGGAATCCTCCAGCTGGGATGCAGGGACAGGAGGGAGCAGGGAACAGCATCCGTGTCCCAGGCATTGGGCTCTCCAGTGGGACAGGGTGAGGAGGAGGCCACCTGTGCCATGTCCAACACCACTGGGGTTTGGGGAAGGGCAGGAATTTAGGACTCAGCCTCTGGCATTTTAGTGACATGCCCAGGGGAAATCAAGGAGGAGGAATCCTTGAGAATGGATCAGAGAAAAGCAGCAGGATGGGAAGACACCTGTGAACTCTTGCTACCTCCTCCTTGGGGTTCTCCCGACAAGGCAGCGGCAGAGTAATTAATACATTCACTAATTAATCAAAACCAACATCTTCCCAATTAGAAACTGGGCCAAAATTTAAGGAGATCTGATTGGGGGTTAGAGGCAGGGGCGCGTGGTTTGCTGGGTTTTTTTTTTTCCTTCTTTCAGCCAAAAAGCCTCAGCCGACCATATTTTTTTTTTTTCTATCCCCTATTTTGGCTTCCCACGGTTGTGATTTTTCCCAAGTGGACAACTGGGACCCTGAGCTCAGCCCTGTCCCTCTGCCACCACCTGAATGCTGTGTGCAAAACCATCCTGCTCCTTCCACACCTCTGGAAGTGCACAAACACCTTGGCTTTTCCTCCCCACGTTCATAACAGCAGTTCCAACAAAAGAAGAGGAGGAAATACAATTCTCTAACATTTTGCTTTTACTCCTTCATGGAATCTTTCCAATGCAACTTCACAAAAGCAATGTAAATAAAGTCTCTTTTTTTTCTTCTAAAAAGAAGATCATGTTCCACAGATTCCGTAGTGCAATTCGTTATCTGGTAGAAAAAAAATATCTTCTTCAGCTCCATGGAGGAAAATGCTGGAAACAGTTCCATGGTATCAATAAAAATAGGAAAGTCTACCCAGGATGGGCTAGAATGTTCCAGGTATGTGGGACACACAATCCCTACAGTCTGCCTCTAGTTGAAGAGGATGGAATCAGGGTCCTGGTTGGCCATCTGTGCAATGTGCTTTAGTACATCCTTTTTGGTAATGATCCCCAGCAGCTTCCTGGAAAACGAAAAAACGCTTTTAATGCACCGACACCGTCAGAAGGGACCCCAGCAGGGCTGCTTGAGCCCCTTGCAGCTGCTGAAGAGCCTTTTGGGATTCAAAGTGACACCCCACAGAAAGCACTGCACCCTCTGAGGGTGGGAAAACCCTGACCCAGGCTCTCACAGCAGCTGTGACTGCCCCATCCCTGGAAGTGTCCCAGGCCAGGCTGGACAGGGCTTGGAGCTGGGCTGTCACAGGTGCCTTTGCCAGGCAAGAACTGCTCCAGCATCCAGCCCCAGCTGGGTCCCAGTCCCCTCTGCCCTGGGAGCAGAGCAGCTCTGACCCCAGGGCTCCTACCCATTGTGGGTGACCAGGCACTGGCGCAATCCCAGCTTGCGGAAAATGTCCACCACGATCTCCATGGGCGTCTCGTCTGTCACCGTGAAGGGACTGAGGTCCAGGATGCTCCTGAGCTTCAGCACAGACGGGGAGCTCGGAGGCAGGGGGGGACAGTAGTCAGTGAAACAAATAACTGAGGTGCTCACGATCCCATCCTGCTTCTTCCGGGCATTTTCTGGAAAGAGAAATATTTCAATCAGTATCAGCACTCCTTTCCAAACAGAGGAGCGTTCCCGTTCCTCAGCTCACATTTAATGGCCTTAGAAGTCCTTTCCTTCCCTTTGCCAGAGCTGTTCCCACTCAAGGAGGGTGTGATGGATTTCCAGCCTTTCTTCTAAGGGAATCATGGAATCATTAAGGTTGGATAAGATCCTTAAGACCATCCAGTCCAACTGTTGACCAGCACCACCACCATGGTCACCACAAACCCATGTCCTAAAGTGCCACATCCACACTTTTTTTTGAACACTTCCAGGGATGGTGACTCCAGGACAGCCTCTGCCAGGACTGGACAACCCTTTCCATGAAAAAAATTTCCCCAATATCCACCCTAAACCTCACCTGGGCACAACTTCAGGTCTTGTCCTGCCAGTCATTACCTGGGAAAACCTCCAAGATCTCCCAGGTTCCACTGCAGGATCAGCACATCAGTTTTGCCCGAAGCCAAATTGATTGTTGCATCTCACTGTTCTCTGGGTCAGGCAAATACAAGTTCTGGAGACCTTTTAACTTCCCAGTTTTTAGAGGAGGTAAATAAAATGCTAACTTCCCAGTTTTTAGAGGAGGTAAATAAAATGCTTTGTACTTTTATGAGTCACTGATTTGGGTCCCATGCAGAGCAGTTGAAGGACTATTTTTAAGCATTCAACGACTGGCACAGGCTCCATGGACATCATCAGGGTGAGGAATGGAAAACAAGTAAAGTACTGGCCATCCCTCAGACCTTCACAGAGGTACTGCGGGTACCTGCCACACTGGAATCTGATATCAGCGTTCCAAGGCTTCCTGGGAAGGGCCAGGTCTGGCAGCCCAAACACCAGGCTGGATGTTCAGAATACTTCAGAATATTTGATCATGAAAAGCCAAATCCCATCCTGTGCCTCACTGTGCACAGCTTGGGGACAGGACTATTCTTAATGAATCCCTGGAAATTCCAAGGAACCTAAGTGCAGAAACTCATGTGTACCACAGAAGGCAGGCAATGCACAAAATATCCTGATGCCCTGGTTCCTGTATTTTATTCCATATTGTCCCAGACAGCCAGTGACAGGGCAAGAGGACACAGCCTCAGGCTGTGCCAGGGAAGGTTCAGGTTGGACATCAGCAGGAATTTCTTCACAAGAAAGCCTGCTAACATTGGAAGAGGCTGTCAAGGGAGCTTGAGTCCCTATCCCTGGAGGTGTCCAGGGAAGGCCTGGATGTGGCACTCAGTGCTCTGGGCTGGTGACAAGATGGGGATCGGACACAAGTTGGACTCGGTGATCCTGGAGGCCTTTTCCAACCTAAATGATCCTGTGACAAGCCACCCTGTCCTTCACATCCAATGCAAGCAGAGCCCACCCACACTGCTCAGGGATGCACCAGCTGGCCCAGCCACCAGCACCAGGAGTGCGTGACCTGCCCAGGTCAGTGACAGCTGGCATTAATGCCAGCACCTTCACCCGGGCACTGCCACCCCTTACCGATGGAAATGATGAGGTCTCTCCTGAGGACAAACCCCACCAGGCGCTGTGACGTGCGGGACACCACCACGGGGTAGCCGCTGTAGGTGGTGCTGCTGACGATGGTCTCCACATCCTCCACGCTCATGGAGTCCTGCGTGATGACCGTCAGGGGAGGGTCGTTCTTGCGCGGCCGCATCACGTCCATGGCCCGTGTCTTGTGCGAGAACTCCTCCTTGGCCTCCAGGAAGGGGTACCCGTTCAGGCGGATGTGGGCGTCGTAAATCCCCTCCCGGCCGATGGCGTCGGCCACCCACTTGCTGGTCATGGCCGCTGCCATCAGGGGCACGATGTACTCCAGCCCCCCGGTGAGCTCGAACATGATGACCACCAGCGACACGGTCATCCGGGTCACCCCCCCTGCCAACACAGCACGGCTCGGGTCACCCTGGCACGGTGTCACAGCAGTCCCCACCTCGAGAGCAGGGTGGTGCCAGCACAGCTGGACTGCCCCGCTCGGCAGCGCCAAACACAATCGGAACAGCACCAAAACCTCCGGCCCTGCCGCAGCAGCAGGCCCTGGCACGGAGCTGCAGGGTTTTGTCTGGCATGTTTTAATTACACGTCTGAGATTCAAGTCCTAAAACTACTCCCACATATTTTACAGGAGTTTTGTTCCAATATCCTTTCCCCAAAGGGGCACAGACCCTTCAGTGCTGCCCAGCAGCAAACAGAATCATTAATGAAGTCAAAGTGTATTTATCTTCCACCAATTACATGCAAACAATCCCAGAAGGGTCTGGGTTTGAAGGAACCTTGAAGTCTATCTCATTCCAACCCCTGTCACAGGCAAGGACGCCTCCCACCAGACTGGGTTGCTCAAACAAGGTGTATCCCCTCTAAAAAGGCCAAAGATGGGGTTTGGTGGCATGTTTTTAGAGGAGAGTTTCTCCCCATAAAGTAGTCCATTAGGACTCCTGTGCTATTCCATGGATGAGGGCACTGGGAATTGTGAAAGTGAAATTCAGTCACATGCACCCAGTCTCTCCAACTCAGCCAAGAGGAAGAAGTGTTACCAAAAAACAGAGCACTTAAAAGCAGAATTGCATCACGAGATTTAAGGCCAGAACAGGAAATAAAATGAATTAAAACCCCACAGGAAAATTCAAATCCCTGGGCAGCCTCAACTGTTCTGGCTCCCACTCAGGAGCTCCCCACTGCAGCTGCCGTGCCCAGCACTGGCTGGAGATGGCAAAAGAACACCACCAGGGTGAGGAACACATGGCACACTCCATTACAGCGTTTCCTGAGGTTCCTGAGGTGACACCAGCTCTTCAGCCACAGACTCACTACAGGGTGGAATGAGATCGTCTTTAAGGTCCCTCCCAGCCCAAACCATTCTGTGGTTCAATGATTAAGGCAGGGGTAACCTCTAAGATCAGGGAGTCCAACCATTCACCCACCACACCACCTCTTGACGTTGCCAACCAAGGCCCAGCCCCAGCTTACCCAGACAGGCGGCGGCGCCCACCATGGCATAGAGGCCAGGGGTGATGCAGTCGGCCCCCTGGCTGCACCAGCCGCTGAAGATGGGCCAGTCATGGTGGTAGAAGGCCAGCTGCTCCACGGCCACCCCCAGCAGCCGGCCCGCGATGGCCCCCACGGCCATGCTGGGGATGAAGAGCCCCGAGGGCACCTGTGGGAACACGGAGCAGTGAGCAGCAGAGCCCAGGGACTGCACAGAGGAGTAGTGGAACCTCAAACCAGAGTGAGGCAGAGGCTTTGCTGGAGCTGAGCTGGAAGGAACGTTTGAAAAGTCATCTAGTCCAACCCCCCTGCAATGAGCAGGGACATAAAAACTGTCCATCAGCTCCATCCACTGCAGGAAAGCTCACACCTGGCAACTACACCTGCAGCTCCAGAGGCTGCACCAAACAACTTCCAAACCCTCTGAGCGAGAACGGCTCCAATTATGCATTAACAAATTAAGACACTGATTGCTTTGCAATTAGCTCTTTCATCTAAATCGCATATTTGTCAAAAAAGCTTGAGGCAGGACAATTTAGGAGCATTCTGTATCTGGAAAATGGGATGTGGAGCCCTGAGGCACCAGTTTTGTGACTGCATTTGGTGCCCACAGTCAGGCTGGAAGGTTTCTACTGCCCTCAGATCCAAGCAGCAGGACAAACAACTGCAGTCTGTCCCCTTCTGACAGAGCTTGGGGGACACATGTCTGGTTAGGGAGGAAATAAAACTTTAAGGGTCCTGAAGAGCATGGGAAGAACATGAGCTCCTTTACAGGCAACCCTCACCTTCATGCCAAAGGTGAAGATGGTGATGAAGACCTTCATGATGAGGGCCAGTGCCAGCTGCCACATGGCCGTGTACACGCCGGGGCCGGCAGCGCGGTCGGGCAGATCGTCCCCCTTGGTGCTGTTGAAATCGTTCACGTACTCGCAGAGCTTGGACGAGTCCAAAATCCCACAGTCATTGAAGAGCTCTGAGATCAGCTCGCTGGTGCTCATCCTGGTGTACTCATTGGGGAAGGCCAGGATGGCCGTGATGGCCGTCACCACCAACACCTCCAGAACCGGGTACTTGCCCAGACGCGTCGTCTTGCGCCGCCTGCACCAGGCAATGTTGCTGCGGATGAAGAAAGCTCCCCAGAGCCCACCAAATATTCCCAGCAGGATGAAGGGCACCAGCTCCAGCAGATGCCATGGCATGTGGAACTCCACGTAGAAGAGCACGAGGCGGCTGTTGCCAAAGGGGTTGATGGAGCGCAGGGTGAAAGCAGCGACCAGCGCAGCGAAGAAGGAGCGCCAGAGGGTCTTCAGGGGGAAGTAGTAACTCACCTGAAGAAGAGAATAAAGCACATGTGGTCACTTTGAACACTTAGCACGACCCCACTGCAGGGAATAAAGCCAGGACAGAGACCCATGAGCACTGGCTCATTCCCTGCTCTCCAGCCAAGCACCCCAGACTTGCTCTGGAGCTCCAGTTCAATGAGGACTTCAGTGAGTGGGATGCGCCCTGGCCTGCAGCACGTGCATGTGTCCTCTGTGATCCCTGGAGCGACTCACTTGGGTAATAAAACCTGATACACATCAGCCATGAGCTGAACTGAGAGAATTCTGTGGCTCTGTAAGGTCCAAAGTACCAAACAGCTGTGCCTGCCATCACTGCCACCAACTATTGCTCAGCTGAGCAAATCCATCCCAGCCTCCTCTGAAATCAATTCTGGTACTCCCCTGAGCTAAACAGCAATGGTCCTTTCACATCCAGATCAACAGATTAAGGATTAGGTGGTCCTTTGGAAGAAAAGAGGATTGATAAACCAGAGAAGTTTGTTCCCATGTGTAGATGAAGAAGAAGGGATTACAAGTGACCTCACCCCTGATAAATCACAGCTGTACTAATTACCAAAGAAGCAGAACAGCCTTGCCCTTAATGGGTCAAAGCTGCAACTAATAAAGATAAGTGTGATAAAAGGGGTGGGCTGGGCAGTCGGGGAGAGCCTGGAGGAAGAGGAACTACAGGAAGAAGTCCTTGAGGAGATAGAGGAGCCCTGAAAAGAATGAAACAAGGAAGAGAGTTGCTGCTGCAAAAGATCTGCTGTGAGATCAGTCTGGGTCTGATAGACTTAGAGCCTGCAGTCATAGTGGAGCTAGGTAAAAGCCTGTGGCCAGAGGCAGCAAGGAAATACTTGCAGTCATATTCCAGCAAGAAATAGCCAGCAGTCAGTGTGTCAGAGAAGCCAACAGCAGAAGTTTGCTGTAGTCAGAGTCAGGATGGCTAAGCTGTAAAGAAGACTAAACTGGGACCCTTTTCATGTTGTTAAATGAGAGTCTGTGTCTTGGCTCATTTCTACCCCCTAAGGAGAGGTCTGCTGCAAAACCCAGGTACCCTGGGACATAGCTGTCAGGAGAGTGGACAAGGGAAAATGGCCTCAAGCCGTGCCAGGGGAGGGTCAGGTTTTACATCAGGAGGAATTTCGCCATGGGCTGTGTTTCTAACCCACAGCATTCCAAGGTTACCTCCTCCAGGCTGAAGAGCACTCCTCCAATGGGAGCTCCAAAAGCCACAGACACACCGGCGGCAGCAGCTGCTGACAGCACCTGAGGGACAGACAGAGGCACTCAGACTTCTCAGCCCTCCCAACCACCCCCTTTTTTGGTTTGTCTTCACTTAAATTTGCACAATGTTTATCTACAGCACAGTCAGTTAGGTCAGACCTACTTTAAGACAGCAGGGAAAAGGTGGAGTGAGCCAATTCCCTAAGAAGGAGCTCCAAAAACATCAGTCAGCATAACAGGACCATTTACCCCAAAACAGAACCATTTACCCTCAGCCCCAGAGCCCCAAGCCCACCTGGCCTCCCCAGGCTGGTGTCCCCACGCACCTCCCTGCGCTTGGCCTCGTTCTTGCGGTACTTGGTGAAGAGGTGGCACAGGATGTTCCCACAGCAGCAGGCCACGTGGACCAGGGGCCCCTCCTTGCCCAGGCTCAGCCCCGAGGACACGGCCAGCACCAGGGTGATGGTTTTGATGACCAGCGTCCACTTGCCCAGGTAGCCTCTAATGATGAAACCACTTAAGATAGTTTTGATCTGGAAGTCAAGCACACAAAGCTCTACAGGCTTTCATTCAAGCCCTGGTCAGAGCTCCTGATTTACTGAATGTTCCCAATCCTGCCCTTTCATACAGCTTTCAAAAGTGCCCCTGAGCTATCAAAAGTGAGAGTCCATAAAAATATCTCTCCACACAAAGGCAGGAGCAGCCATCTGAGTCCTTCCCTGAGGGCCACTATCCCTGCTGGAGAACACCTAAGCAGTACCTCCTGCAGCAATGCCAAAACATCTGATTTTCCAAGGGACTCCATGGAGACTTTAGTATTAGACACGTTTTAAACAGCTTGGAAAAATACCTACATATGAAGCCATCATCTAAAGTGGAATATCTTATTCCATAACATGCATGTGTAAATTTTGGGTGGTGGATCCCTACGCCACCTGAAGAACAACCCACTCTCGTTCTCACTCACCTCTGGGATCCCTGAGCCACAGGCATAGGGAGCAAAGCCCTTCACCAGGAGCACAGCAAGGAGGGAGAACATCAAGGCCCAGATAACGTACATTAAGTAGTTGAGGATATATGCAAAGGCCCCCTGAAACACAGAGGAAATTGCCAAAATCAGATGGTTTCAACTGCAATCACATCAGACCTGGGCACTGAAGTGAGCATGGGGAATCAGCAGGACACCACAGAGTTATCAGCTAAAAATGAAGAGACCTGCCCTAAGTCTGGTATTTCAAGGCCAAGTTCCATTTGCTGGGTTAGCAATCATGGCATTCCCCAGAACGGGCAAAATACCCTCCAACAGCACATCCTGGACACACCAGTGGCACACTGCACCTGTACATGTGGCAGTGTCTTGCCTTCCACATCCCCTCCAAGGACAACACCCACATAAGCTGTTTATTGACACCCCTTTAGGGCCCCAACAATGAACCACTGAACCACCCAGAGCTTGGACTCCTGGCATCCACATCACCCCAGGGATGCTACAGGCTGGGCAAACAGGGAATTCAGCAGCAAAAGCAGTTCCAGGTGCCCATCACCTCTCCATGGCCAAGGATCAGCTGGGACCAGCTCTTCCACTCAGGACACTTGTCCCTGTCGGTGAAGGTGGTGTTGGATTTCCAGCAGCAGTGCTCATGGTTGAACCAGAATCCTGCCAAACACACTCCTTCCTTCAGATCTGTCATCCAGTGGGCAGAGATGTCGATCAGACCTGCCAAGGAACCTGGTTTAAAGGGGAAAAAACCCAAAATAATTTAATGAGCAGACTAAAACACCTGAAGGTCACAGTCTGCCCCACCAATTTTGGACTCACCTCCCAGCACATAGAGCAGTGTGGTATTTCTGCCTACAACTCACTTTTATTCTATGGAGAGCTAAATGAGAGGATTTGTCTAGTTTTGAATCATTTCAATATATTGAAAAGAGCAAGTCAGGAAACAGAGTGTGGCTGATGATGTTTCAAAGGTTGACTGTGTCCAAACCACCCCCCCTGCATCACCAGCAATTCATTCTTCTCAATAACTGTTTGTTAAATACAGCACAGCAGCAGTGGCAGGGCAGAGAGGGATGTCCCACATTCCTGGGGGACTCAGACAAAATGTGTCACCAGGATCCAGGAGCTGCATCACCAACAGTAACACTTTGACAGAAATAACTCTGAATTTGGAGAAAACATTTCCAACCCTAATTTAAAAAAAAAGAAAAATAAAGGAGGGGAAAGTTACAACTGTGCCAAGTAAAACAAGGCAAGCAGAGCCAGCACAGAAGAGAAGTCAGGTTTTAAGAGGAATCTTCAAGTCACTTTTGTTAATAACTCCTCCAATCCCAAAATCCCCACACCAAGGCAGAGGCCAGGGACCTCTGATCCACAGAAGTAAGTGGCAGCACAAGCTCCAGAGGCTGCAATAAACATGCAGCAAATCCCCCAGTTAATGACCAACTGGCCAGCAGCCTTCCTGGGTAAACATTAACACAAGATTTCACTCCATCCCTCGTGACAGATGCTTACTGCTTCCTATCGGGAAGATTTGTATCCAAGTGATTTATTCCTGCTGCCCTGGGGCCAAAGTTTGTTTCTAAGTAATATAAAAGGTCTCAGCCAGCTGAATTCTGAAAGACACCTGATTTCCAAGCAACACCTCTCCCTTTTTATATCTAAGTATAGATGGAAAAACCTCAAAAAATAAGAAACTCTTGCTGGCAGCCCTTGGCATTAATCCCTTCAGTACCCATGAGGAGCATTCAGCACAGACACTTCCAGTGTTTCAATCAGCTCTGCTTTAATGAATGTTTTTTATTCATTTCAGAGTTCTATGCCAGCAGCAGACCCAGAGCAGCATCCAGGACATCTCTCAGCCTCGGTTTTGTATTTTGGTTTTGCACAAACATGGGCTGAAAGCACTTAAAAATAATTCCTTGTGAATTTACAAGGCAGCAGCACAAGTCAGCACAAGTCCTCCCTCCAAAATCCTACTGCTCCAAGGATCAGCCAGGCCTTGGGGAGGAATGGATCCTGATGCTGCAGTGCAGGAATTGGTTTTACCTGGAGGTTTGCCCTCACCTGCCAACAATCCAATAAGGAGCATCAACAGCCAGCCAGAGAAGGCGTCGCTCACGCTGTGCAGCAGAGCCCAGGTGGACTCTTTGCTTCTGCTGGTGATCTGGGAAAGGGTTTGCAGAAAGAAACAAAAACCTGTGAGGACTCTGATCCACTGTGGTGTAAATGCTCTAAAACTACTTGGTGACACTGTGACTCTGCTTTGAGGAGGGAGAGAAAAAGCACCTGACAGTGGCTGCTCCTACAGCTGCTGCAGATCGGGGTATGGGCAGGAGAATGGATCAAGGATCATGGAATCACAGAATGGGTTGGATGGGAAGGGACCTTAAAGATCACTCAGTACCACCCCCAGTCGTGGGCAGGGACACCTTCCACTATCCCAAGCTCCATCCAACCTGGCCTGGAACACTGGCAAGGATTGGGCAGCCACAGCTTCTGTGGGCACCTGTGCCAGAGTCCGAACGATATGGACAGAGATTGGGGTTGCAGATTTAATGCCAGCAGAGAGGAATGGTCCAGCTGGGAAGTGGGCACTGGTGGCACTGGGAAGTGGGGCTCAGCCCTGTCCTAGAAGCCCAGGATGGCTGAGGTCTGTCAGTCTCACTGCTCCTGACAGGCAGACAAAGGATGACAGAACAGCCATTGTGTGCCCAGCTGCCTCTCCCAAGGGAAACGTTCCAGCTCTCCACTGTTATTCCCTGTGATGCAGCAAGGCAGGAGCAGGCTGGGGACATGGGTGTTCAGCTAAAACCCCCCTTGCATTCTGAACAGATTCATTTAATTGCCGAGTGCTGAAGTCCTGGGAAGGAATTCTGGAAGAATTGAACTCGGTCTCCTCAAACAAAAAAATTCCAATAGAAAGAGCACCATTCCCCAGTGCAAGTGTGAGAGCAGAAAACCAGGCTGGTTCTGTTCTCCAAATCCCCATTTGGAATAAATTAAAGCCTTCAGAAGAGAAGCAGCAACCAAAAAACTGCAACATGTTGGATTTAGTGCTCCTTTTCCTCAAACTGAACTCCCAGCCCCCATCCTAAGGGCAATCCCTCCATCCCAGGGGTCTCCAAGACTAGCCTCCCTACCCCAGCAAGAGTCACACATTAATTATCCTGCACTCAGAGCCACCGAGGAGGAGGAATTTTTACCTCCCTGTGCCTGTCTCGATCCCTGGACTTCTCTCGCACCCAGTCTATGGTGTTAAAATCTTCGTAGGTGCCCACACCAGGAAGAGGCTCCTCCAGGAAATCCATCATGGTGCTCGTGCCGTTCATCCCTCCTCCATTATATGAGGAGAAGCCTGGTGGGGGAGGAAAGGGGAAAATTGAGCATTTCTTAGTTTTTCCTCTTTTTATAAAAAACCAAAACTCATATAGGAGGAAAACCAAAGATTTCAACAGAAATAAAAAGCTACTGAGGTGATCTTCCCAGGTGATCTGTGCCAGGAACACCCTCCCCAGCTTCAGCAGATCACCTGGATATGGGGTTGCCCCTGGAAATGACTGTTCAGAGCAAAGTAAATCACCACCAGCATCTAGATGGTGCCTTTTCCCCAAATCCAGGACCTGCCATGAGGATATTTTGCCATTTGAGGCGAGCAGATGGGAGAGGGAGAGCAGAAAAGGAATATATAAGACTTCAAACAGAGCTGAAGGGTATCCCAGGTGGATGTGGCATGGATGAGAGGAGGATGGGCAGGAAAGCATAGATGGGTACAGGGATACAGGAAAAGCAAAGCATCCAATGGGGCCTGGAAATCAGAAAGTGGTACCAAATGGGGGCTTGGCAAAACACCAAACTGGGACTTGCAGCCTCCCTCAGGTGAACTCAGCCAAACCACTGGGCCTCCAGTTTAACCTGCTCCAGCCCATGGAAAACAATGCTTAGCTTGGGTGTGCATTCCCAAAATTCTGGTTCTGGAAGACATTGAGTGTTTGCAGTCATTCAGAGGGAAAAACAGAAGAGCAAAAACCAAAATCCACTCAAAACTGGAAGGTGGGGGGAAGAGGAGGGTTAAAACTCCCAGACAGAAGGATAATGGTTGATACTTGAGCATATTTAGCTTGCAGATATAATGGGGGCAAAGGTGTCTCCAAAAGGGAAAAATAAGGAATTCAAAGAGCTGCCCTCTGCCCCATCATCTGAAGCAGGAAGGGAAAAGAGCTGTGAAGTCTTCCCAAGCCCATCTCCCAGATTGCCACAGCTGCAGGAAAACAAGATGAGTCATGTACAGAACTGACAACCACCACAAAATAACCCACTTAAAACAGCTCCTCGCTTCACCTGGGACAAATAAAAAAAAGGTGGAGTTCTGCAGAGCTCTTCCAAATGCTGAGTGCACAGGCTGTGAGACCCAACTGCACTGCGAGGAAAATGAGGCACATTTTCCGTGAGGAATCCTTGGTTTTAACAGCATTTTTGAGACCAGAAGCTTGGAAATGCAAAATTATTATCAAGGCTTCCAGAGATTTCCCCACAGAAACATCCTTGCAGGAAATCCTACATGCTGCTCTCTAAATCTGATGGATCAGAACCTCCTGGAATAAACCATCCTGACAGCAACATGAGCAAAGGGAGAACATAGAACACTGAAGTGCCTGGAACTCCTCCTGGCACCTGGCTGGTGCTGCTCCAAGGACATGAGAGCTACCTGGCACAGGTATCCAGGGAACAAACAGAGGCCTCGTCCTGGTCACCCAAACAAGTCCCACCTGCAGCCCAAAGCAGGAGCTGGGTTTGCTCCCACAGGAATGACCACCTCTTCCAGAAGCACCCCAATCATCCCTGACTCTGTGCTGCAGACAGCAGACTCTCTCTGGTTATTCCCTTTATTCCCTTTTTTTTTTTTTTTGCCTAGGTACCAAATCTTTCCTAAAGATAAAAGATACAGCTGTCGTAAAGAAAAGTGTTAATGAAGGAGAGTTAACCAAGCTGATAGAACACCCTAAGAAGTATTTTTGCAAGATGAGATCAGGCACATTCCATGCTCACTCTCCTGGAATAACAGGAGACTTTGAGCTGTCCTGGGAACACTCTCCCAGCTCAAAGGTTGCCCTGGAGCAGCAGGAACCAGACCCTGAGGCACAATGCAAGCACAGAGCTGCAGTGACAGAGGGGCTGCAAGTCCTGGTACCCCCAGTAAGACCCTGATGGCACCTGCAGGATCCCTCAGACACAGCCCCTGTGATCCCATCCACAGCCCCAGTGAGCCCACGGGCAGATGGGATGGGCTGATCCCACTCCAGACCAGGCAGGTGCAGGTTGGAGCCTGATCCTGTTCTCCAGGATCCCTGCTCAGCCCAGCCTGCCCTCCTACACCACCAGGATTTCTATTCCCAAAGGAGAATCTCGAGGTCTCCAGCTACACACAATTGTTTATTTGACAGATGATAATGAGAAAACATCTTTATATTTTTTTTCAGGGGTAATCTAGAACTATGAAATGGCTGACAGCCATAAATATTTATAAGGATCATGTTTCCTGCCTCAGCTTGCTGCAAATCAAGGCTCCTAGGATCCCCAGATAGGAATAAAGGAGGAAAATGAGTTCCGTGATTCCCTGCCAAAACACTTCCAAGATGATTGCACAGATCTCCCTGTTTATAACATCCAGATCTCCAAATCAGAGACAGTGAGTGAAAAGTGACCCTGTTACAGCTCATTTCAAACAGAGATTTCTCAGTGTTCTGATCACTCCCCGGAAGGGGTTAATTAATGCTCCACTTCAGACCCTGCCGGGCTTAGGAAAACCAGGCTGCACTTGGTGAAGTTCCAGGCTGTGCCATGTGCCACCCTACAAAAAGCCACAGCGTTTGCTGACTGTCCTGCCAGTGGCAAGGGGACAGCCATGGCACCTGGAGAGCTCTGTGGCTGCTTCCCTGCTCCAGCAAATCCCAGAAATGCTGGGGGTTCACAGGGACAGCGAACAAACAACCATTACACAGCAGAAATCCCGCAGCCCACCCTGCTGGATCCACCACCCTCATCCTGGCTCTGCTGCCCCACAGCGTGCACGGACACAGAGACACATTTCCCTTGGCTCACATCTCCTTTTCCTCCCTGGAAGGGTCTCCTCACCCCGGCTCAGCCGCTCCCCATCCCGCAGGAGCAGCCCCGGGGGTCTGTCCGTGCCGTGGGGACATTCCCGGGGCTCACAGCGGGACCTGGTGCATCCTCCTCCTCCTCCTCCGGGAGCTGCAGCGCTGCTGAGCCCTCCCCGCCCCTGGCGTCACCGGCACCGTCACCAGGGCCAGCCCCTGCCGGGGACACTGTCACCAGAGCCAGCCCCGGCCACTGCCATTGGGACACTGTCACCAGAGCCAGCCCCTGCCACTGCCATTGGGACACTGTCACCAGAGCCAGCCCCTGCCACTGCCGAGGACACTGTCACCAGGGCCAGCCCCTGCCGGGGACACTGTCACCAGAGCCAGCCCCTGCCACTGCCATTGGGACACTGTCACCAGGGCCAGCCCCTGCCACTGCCATTGGGACACTGTCACCAGAGCCAGCCCCTGCCATTGGGACACTGTCACCAGAGCCAGCCCCTGCCATTGGGACACTGTCACCAGAGCCAGCCCCTGCCATTGGGACACTGTCACCAGAGCCAGCCCCTGCCACTGCCATTGGGACACTGTCACCAGAGCCAGCCCCTGCCACTGCCATTGGGACACTGTCACCAGAGCCAGCCCTGCCACTGCCATTGGGACACCGTCACCAGAGCCAGCCCCTGCCACTGCCATTGGGACACTGTCACCAGAGCCAGCCCCTGCCACTGCCATTGGGACACTGTCACCAGGGCCAGCCCCACCACTGCCATTGGGACACTGTCACCAGAGCCAGCCCCTGCCACTGGGACACTGTCACCAGAGCCAGCCCCTGCCACTGCCACTGGGACACCGTCACCAGAGCCAGCCCCTGCCACTGCCATTGGGACACTGTCACCAGAGCCAGCCCTGCACCTCACCAGGGGACACCTTGGACCCACTCCTGTGGCTCCAGCTCCTTCTTCTGCTGGGGCCCAGGGCTGGGGCAGCTCTGCAGGTGAGGTCTCACCTGAGCAGGGCAGAATCCCCCCCCTTTCCTCGCTGCCCATGCTGGGCCAGCAGCCCAGGGGGTTTTCCAGCATCATGGCCAGGGCAAGCTGAGCTTCTGATCCACCAACAGCCCCAAGCCCTTCTCCTCAGAGCTGCTCTCCATCCATCCTGCCCCAGGCTGGATTTGTTTCTGCGATTACCCTGACCCAGGTGCCAGTTCTCTTCACCCAACAGCGCAGCCCCAAAGATCCACCAAACCCAACCCTCAACCATGGAGGGACACCCAGCACTTTGCTCACCATCTCCCACATGGGATGCTCCTGGCAGCCCAGCCTGGACACTGCCTGCTCTGCAGCCCATTCCCAAAGCTCTGCCCCAAGGCACGATGCAGCACAGGAAAGCACATTTATCAACAGTGGTGGGTCAGTCACTAATGTACTGACAGACAAACCCCCTTCTTTTCCCACCCAGCAGACATTTTCCTTACTTTATAACTCCCAGGAATGCTCTTTGCTCACTGTCTTTCCAGCAGGCAGGCACTGGATTTTCCTTTTGTCCTCTGGGCACAGTCAGACTTCAAAGGCTCTCCCAACACATGAGCAGCCTTTATCTCACCTTTATTCAATGCACACAGAGCTCAAAGGGGCTGGTGATTAAGTTCCTCGGGCTCCAGTTTGCTGGTGATAACTTGTCATTCAAGCATTGTCTGGGAGGCTGAAACTCTGCACTCTCCCCACACTGACTTTGGTCTCCCTGATAAAAACTGCGGGGTTCTGTGTGAGGTCAAGGAGGAAGGCGGGTGAAGGAAGCAGGGGAGATGAGCCAGATCAAGGCTCCCACTTCAATTTTAATTTCATTTTTCATTTAAGATGGAGAATAACTCGCTGTTAAATCCTGTTTGTGATTATAAGCACCAGGGGTAAACTGGGCACTCAGACCTCTGATCATGGAGTTACAGACGGGTTTAAGTCGGAAGGGACTTAAAGCTCATCTCATTCCACCCCTGCCAGGGGCAGAGACACCTTCCACTATCCCAGGCTGCTCCAAGCCCCAGTGTCCAGCCTGGCCTTGGGCACTGCCAGGGATCCAGGGGCAGCCACAGCTTCTCTGGGTACCCTGTGCCAGGGCCTGCCCACCCTCACAGGGAACAATTTCTTCTTAAATCTAACCTCAATGTTTCCTCTCTCAGTTCAAACCAATCCCTGTCACTACCTGCCTCAATTCTTGCCTTTAAAGGAGAATAAACCTTTTAAAATGCCACAGAGAAAAGGACACCTTCCACCACTGAAACACTTTTGAGTCTTCCTCTGGATAGAGGAGAGAACCTCGGTCACCACCTCCTAGCTGGGCCCTCACAGCTTCAGGTTTCACACTGGCACCCCAACATCTGCCAGCAAACATCTGAAGTCAGCAGGGGAAGTTCACAGAGAGAACTGAAACTGGCATTTGGGCAAGAAGCTCTTCCTACTTTAAAATTTCCTCTTTTACTTCAATGTCACCCTCCCCTGAGGACCTGAGCACCTTGTCAACAGGGAGAGCCCCATCCAGGGCTAGCACTCCTTAGATTCAGCATATCCACGTGGAGTCATCCCTTCTCCATGAATTTCACTGCTCAGACTCCAGGAGGAGAAGCAGACCCTCTGGCCAGACAAGGGGTGGCAGGGGAAGCACCAAATCCTCTCTGCTGCCACACAGAATGATTCTCTCCATGACAGAAAACCCCCAAAATTACAGATAAGCAAGAAAGGAAGGGAGGGGACAGTCTGTGCTCATATCACAACCCTCAGTGCTGCAATTTCATGGCACCCACATCCCTCCCTCCTGCCACTGCCAGCTCTTCTCCACAACAGCTACTCTAGGAAACTCCAGGACTCTCCTGAAGCCGGAGGACATGCTCCATGTCACAGCCCAGGAGCCACACAGACAGGGACACAATCCAGCATCCTGCACTCTTCCCCCCGGTGCCAGGAAACACCAGATCCATCCTGGGCAGAGGCCAGCAAGACCCACACAGCAAATATTTCCATTAAAACCTATCCAAAGCCATCAGCAAAAGCAGAAAGGGGAGAGCTCGTGGGTGTTACCTCCCATCTCCCTGTCGAGTGGTGGGTCATCGTCTGCCATGGAGAAATCCATGGATGCTCCAGCTATTTCCAGCATATCCTCATCGCTGGTGGCACTCTGGAAGCTCCCCCGACGATAGCCCTTCTGATCCATGGCCAGAGCTTCCAAACCTGCAAGCAAAGGGAAGCTTTTTAAAGCACAAGCAGGAAAACTAATCTTCTAACCCAACTGGACTGACACTTGACCCTGGAGACCCAGAGGCTGTGGTGGTCTTCCCATGGGAAGGCTGGATGCAGTGGTGTGATCTCAAGTTCAGGCTGGAATTCCAGTGTTAGCCAGGGCAAGAGCCACTCTGATGAATTTATTAAATAATCTCCACACGTGCTCTCAACAGGTTTGCAGTGATTTTTCTTTTTTGGACCCCACCAATCTCAAGGAGCTGCCCATGCCACACCATGACAAGAGACCCATTGTCTCTCCTCCTCTTTTCCAGGACAGCAGAGGAACTACAAAAGCACAAGCTCTGAAAACATAATAACAAACTAAATAGAGGGGAAAAGTCATATATGAGCCTCGAAAACAGCTCTTGCCACATGGAAATGGGAATCTTTGCATCTCCATGAGAAGACAGAACCACAGAATGATTTCAGTTGGAAAGGACCTCCAAGACCATCGAGTCCAAACAGTGCCAAATCCCCACTTATCCCCATCCCAGAGCACTGAGTGCCATCTCCAGGCCGTACTTGGACACCTCCAGGGATGGGGACCCCAAACCTCCTTGGGCAGCCCCTTCCAAATTCCTCCTGGTGTCCAATCTAAACTTCCTCTGGCACAGTTTGAGGCTGCCCTGGTCCTGCTGGCCACACTGTTCTTGATCCAGGCCACGTTGCCTACCTGGACTCACTGCTGGCCATGCACACTTTGTTTTTGCAAACACTGATTTTTTTCCAGAGAATTAAGAGAGAAACCAACTACACAGCTCAGAGCTATTCCAGGAAGGGAAAACGCCAGCCAGCACTTCCCAACAGGCTGAATTACACACTCTGCAGAAAACACTTCCTGTTACACAGAAGGAGCCATCACAGCACGCACAAAAAGCCTTGGCACTGCACAGGGTGCTCTCTGCTGAGCCCTACACTGTGGAACACCACGTTCCTTACCTTTTACGCTGTGTTTTCTCACTAAACTGCCACAGAAGATCCTGGAAAGGAGGGAGACAAGGGGAGCTGGGTGCTTGGGAAGGCACACGAGCAGCTGCACACCCTGAGAGCACACAGACAGTGTGGCCCAGAGAGCCGGGGGGCAGGAGAAACCCAGGAATTCAAAGTTATTTGCCACTAACAATGAAAATAATTCAATGGCATTGAAGTGCTGTGATGCTCTTCCAGTAAACTGCTTCCAGGGAGCACAGAAGATCCAGCTCCCAGCCTGGGAGGCAGGGATGGCCCAGTCAGCCTGGCAGAGAATTAAGGGAACTGTGCTCGTGTGTCTCAGGGCTCGTTTGCAGCATAACATGGTTTTACAGGGATTTTCCAGTAAGACTCAGTGGGTGTAAATATGAGGGAAATGGGGCTAAAATATCTCTGTATTTGTACAATCCCAGAATGGTTGGGGTGGGAAGGGTCTTGAAGTCCATCCCATTCTACCCCTGGCCATGGGCAGGGACACTTTCCACTGTCCCAGGCTGCTCCAAGCTCCAGTGTCCAGCCTGGCCTTGGATACTTCCAGGTATCCAGGGGCAGCCCCAGCTGCTCTGGGCACCCTGTGCCAGGGCCTGCCCACCCTCCCAGGGAGGAATTTCTCCCCAATATTCCATCTAAAGCTCTCTGCTTTGCTAAGAAAGCAGCAGTTCCTGCAGCACAGGCAGAGCAACAGCACCTCCTGCTCCCCTCAATCCCTCCCTGAGCTGGTTCTCATTGACAGCTTTAAAACCCAAAAGCACAGCAGCAAACATGGCACCTTCCAGCCACAGCAGAGCCCAGGGAACACTTGGCAGCACAAGAAGGACACACAGGAGGATAACTCCATGCTCACATCTGTCACATTACCAAAACACTCCCTCTTACAGATGCTTTCCCAGGCACAAGGAATAAAATTAAATAATAAATAGACTGTTTTCATGCTTATCTGGTTGTTCATTTACCCAAATTCTCCATCAGGCAACAGCTGCCTCTTTGCACAGGCCCTGGCACTGCCAGAACCCCTGGAGCACTCGTACATACCCCAGCACTGCTGGTGTCCCCAACGCCCGTGTGACACCATCCTCCTCCAGCTGCTCCCATCCGCCTCCTCTGCCCTTCTACTCCGTCCTGGTGCTCCCCATGGCAGTCAGAGAAAGGGAAGCAGCAAAGCAGAACCCGGCAGGGTCCCCAGGCCACCGCCTGGAAGTGACTCAGTGACAGCGCTGGCAGCAGGAAACTGGAGCCTCTGCCATTTCCAATCCAAACCCCAAGCATCCCGAGGTTTTCTCCTGGTTCCAGGCTCTGTACCACCCGTCCCAGCACCACCATGGCAGCAGGGGATGGGACTGGGACTCCAGAGCTCCGGCACCACCACGCCCAGAGCAGCCCTTCCAGCACGCAGGCTCGAGGGTTTCCCTGTCAGAGCATGGAAAAAGCTCCTACAGCATTTTTTCCTCCCTGTCAGAGGACAGGCTCGACCCCAGCTGCAGCAGCACCACACGGACATCACACCAGGAGCAGGCAGCAAGCCCAACCAGCCACCTCGGGAGCCACTCCTGCTGTGGGAAGGATCCAGCTTACCACCTAGTGGCCATTTCCACCGGGAAACCAAAAACCTGGATCACAAGACTGGGGCTTCTTTAAAGATCAGCAAATCTAAGCTGAGCTTTGACAACTCAGGGCTCTCCTTCCTCTCCGGCCCCACGTGGTTCTCAGCCACATCCCTTCCCACAAGTATCAGACCACTGGCATACAGACTAGGAAAAAACTGCAGAATAAGCCAACTTTAACTGAATAAAAAAAGAAAGGAGAAAACAATTTAGCATTTGGCTGTTGGGTCATCACTCGTGGTGCCTAGCTGGGAGCCAGCAGAGCCAGGCTTACATAGTCCTGGAATGGCTT